TCTGGTTTCAGGTGCTGGCAGGGCTGGAAGCTCTGATCAAGGGTGCTGGCAGGGCTGGAAGCTCTGATTTCAGGTGCTGGGGCCTATGATTTCGAGTTTTGGCAGGGCTGGGGGTCTGATCCCGGGTGATGGCAGGGCGGGAGTCTGTGGGTTACTGGGTGCAGAGTAGTGCATTTTTAAAAAAGAAACCATTTTAAAAGGGAAACTTAAAATTAGCTCGCCAAAGGCACAGCTAGAATTCAGGGCTGTTCTGTTACATAAAGCATAGTGCATTTTCTAAACATATCTATTAATGCTGTAATTTTGGGGGTCTGGAACAGATTAATCAAACTTCCATTAATTCCTATGGTAAATGTGGATTCAGTTCTCAAACAGCTTTCTGGAACGGATTAAGTTCGAGTTCCAAGGTTCCACTGTATGTGCAGACACTCTACATAAATAATACACTCATCCCGTCACTTGGATGTTATAACATCTATAGGTACTGGAGCCTGTAACTATGCTTCATTTGCCTTATGAAGTCTGAATGGAGTTTCCAAAATACAGGGCACCTTTAGTTTTCAATGCCACTTGCTTAACATCTATTTTGATATTTAAAAAAACTATAGATTTTGAAAATGAAAGGTTGGATTATATTATATTAGAGAAACAACTCTGGTAGCTGTATAGGAGTTTGTCCATGACATCCAACTTAACAGACTATATCCCTCAGTCTTAGAAAAGTGGAAAACATATAATACAGACCTATATAAAACAAAATATAACATAAGCAATCACGGGTTACATGAGTGAGGGTGTTTCGCAAATATTCCCTCAAGGATTATCAGCCAGGGTAAATGTACAGTTCCTTTAGTAACTAAGAGGCAAAGGCCATAAGATTATATAGTAGTGGTTTAAATTATTACTATGTGTGTGAGCGAGTGGAAGAGTTAGGTTGCTGCTAATGTCCACGAATATGATCCTCTCTTTACTAGCAGTGACATATATTGTGTGTCTATGTTGTATGATAGAGGTCAATTCTTTAAGCAGTCTGATGTCAACCACTCTCGCGAATCAGACTGCCGTGGTGGGCGCATGTGTTTCCCCCCCACATTATTAGTATAAGATTTTGCTTTTGAATTTTAATTATCCAAGTTACAGATCTCTCTTTTAAGATATGGAGGTGGAGAAGCCCCCAGATTTAGCAGATTCCGGCGTGCATTTTCAAAAGACCATTAAAAGGACTCTCCAGTGTCAGGAAAACCCCTCTCCCTGCCAGCCCCCATCCCAGGTTGCTTAAGGGGCACATCGGTGCTGGTTCAGGGTCCGCCCACGCTCCTCCCCCGCCGACGTCATCCGTCGAGGGAGACCTATTGCGCATGCGCAGCCAGCGACGGGGGAGACCTAATACGTATGCGCGGCAATGCCGCGCACCCGCATTAGACCTTCCCATACAAAAGCATTGAAAATGCTTTCAATGCTTTCCTATGGGGATTGCAGCGACCTTGGAGGTCCTCACATAGCGTGAGGACGTCCAGCGACGCTATAGCACAGAAAATCTGTGCTATAAACCCGGAAGTGCCCTCTAGTGGCTGTCTAGTAGACAGCCACTAGAGGAGGAGTTAACCCTGCAAGGTAAATATTGCAGTTTATGAAAACGGCAATATTTACACTTATTATTATTGCCATTTATATAGTTGCAGGGTTAAGGGTAGTGGGAGTTGGCACCCAGACCACTCCAATGGGCAGAAGTGGTCTGGGTGCCTGGAGTGTCCCTTTAAGTCAGATTTGGCCAACTAAAATAAATGAATAGTACAAAAAATAAGAAAGCAACTTTTATTAGCAACGTTTCATTAGCCAAACTAAAATGAAATCCTAACATAATAAATGTATACCATGGTAACATATTTTAGCTGCATACATTACAAAAACAAAGTAAAAAATATATCAATCTGTCACACAATATTTACACCTTAATTAAGACAAAATTACAGAGGAACAAAAAGCAGTTAATTATCACAATTATTACAGAATATTATGTACTTATAAAAAAAATGTATTTCAAGGAAGTAAAATAAATTCATACTTTTTTTTACATTAATGTGTAAGAACACAGAAATGATACTAGATTTTAAGCCCAATATACTATACTATGATAATTTGATTGGCTCAGTAGCTCAACATTTTTTTAAATGAACCAAAATTACAAACTCGAGATTAGTTTATCAACCTAATCTTTCTTTGTAAAATTAGCCCAGTGACTCATTCTGCATTTGTAATCTAATTTATAAATTATGCAAAACACTTTCATTAGATTGTTTCATGTGTCTAAAAGGAGTTACCAATGTACTTGAATGCTACTACAGTAACCAAGTCATTGTAAGCTTGGGGGAAAGATGAACAGGATATGCCTTTAGGGACTCATTGAATCAGCATGGGGAACTATCTTTGAGCCCAAAGCCAGGGCTTGAGGACCACTGCCTTTGTACTTGCAGCATAGAGGAAGATTCTATGTGTAATGTAATATTCAGTGTATTGCAAATATTCTGCAGTAATGCCTATGCTAAAATGCAGAGTAAATCACAATGTGGATTTTTTTTCAATCACTATACTTTCTATTAGTAGGGCTTAAACGAAAGCTTTTGTTAATGAGCGTTTTGGTGGAGCTCCCAGTACCTTTATCAGGACTTACGATAAATAAGTACATCAACTTATCATATAAGATTTCCACCATGTTCTCTTTAGACAGCGGGATTAAACAGCTATAAAAAAAAAAACAAGCAATATAACAAAGGAGTGTACCTGTACAGAATTTATATATTCTTTATAGCAAGTTCATAACTGATCATTTGCACATTCCACGTGCTGGAGAACATTCGAATAGAGACATGACACAATTAACATCACTTATTTACAATTTCAGAATGTTATTTCAGTAATATGATGATCACATCTGCAAAGGGTAAATATTAATCTTTCTATATGCTTCTCAACCATGTTGAACCTCAAAATGAAGCCGAAGTTAAAATAAGCTCAGAAGGAAGATGTATCCACTATTTTCCAGCATTTCTATGATACTATAATAATTTGTTGGCTCTACAAATAACTATGGAATTTACAGACTTAAATGACAAGACTAAAAAAAAAATATCAGACCAAACACACACAATAGAAGATGTAGCTTTTTCGGGCAACATGTTTTGTTTGGGAACCTATGCGTATTTTAAAGGGTTACTCCAAGAACGATGACCACTCCAGTGATTTGAAGTGGTGATGGTGCCTGGAGTCTGTGTGTGCGCAATGTTGGCTCTATGAAATGCTGCACATATGGAATTTAACCCTTCTGCTGCTGGAGGTACAACTGGCTTCAGTCAGTCCTGTGCATGTTTGGTGTCTGTCATCAGCATGCTGGCAAGAGACATCCGATGGCAGTATGTCCCCCCTATTCTGTGCCACCCATGTCCTCCCTGTAGCTTGTCCTCTCGGAAAGTTATATTAGCATAGGAGGATCAGATGGAAGGGAGAACTTGGCCTTGGCGCTAAAAGGTAGGTAAGTTTTAGCCAATTTTTTTTTTTTTTTGGGGGGGGGGAAGAAGGATAGGAAGGGTTATTCTGACTAAAAACAGTGTTTTTTAATTCACTGTTTTTGATTAGAGTAACCCATTAAGGTAGGAGTAGTAGTTGCAGTAATACAGTAGATTTTTTTTTTTACGTGAGTTCATTGCATACATGGTTTATCTTACTGGCAGGCAACCATTGGTTTGAGCCTTCAGGGCATTTAACTCACATTAAGCCCAGCAAGACTTTAGTAGATAGTTGGGTTATCCGGGAGATTGTCTACCGCGGCTGAAGTGTCAGAGGATACAGATCAATATATATCTCCATATTTGAAGTCACTTAAAAAATGTTTTATTTATTTTGTTTTTGAAATGTACAATATTTTAAAAATAGTGGGTGGTAATGGAAAGACAGTGGAGACTCATCGCTATATCATTTGGATCATTTCTTTATGTTGAGCAGTGTTTTAACAATTTTGATAAAGAGACATAATATATATGGCATTAGCTTGGCAATCCGCTTTTCTATTGTAAATATAACTGGACATTTTTTTTTTTATTGTAATAGATTCTAAAATCAAAAATTCAGCCAAACAGCTGTGCTAGTTTCTTTCTAAATTTATATTGATCTCGACTGACCTGAAGAACACAGCATGCTACCAGAAACAGTTAAATATGAGCCAGATTAATTTGGGTGCCTACTAAAACATCATGCTTCGGACCAAGCCATTTTTGTAGGTGAATACCTAGAGAAAAATCCTCAAAGCAGTCTGTTTTCAGTGAAAGAAAAACTAGCCAAAGTTTTATCATATTCTGTATACTAGGCATATATGACTATTCCCGTTACTCATTGTATGCACAGTCACTGTTAAGCTAATCCAGGCTTAATCATGAAAAATTAAACTTGTATTGCCATCAATGAGTGCATGCAACAAGATAACAATAGATGGTGACACAAGAGGTCGATGATCTGCTCATAGAGAACCTGGTCTATATGCATGTTACCTATAGCACATCAGTAAAATAAATGACAACAGTCACTGTCAAATAATGTAAACAAAACATTAAAAGTATGTTATTTTGTAGGCCAAATGTTTAGAATTAAGCAACAGCGTCCTTTTAACAAATCTGACATCCAGGAAGACAAGCAATCTTCATAATTTGTAACAAGTGGAACATTTTATCTATTTATTACTATCCTTTGACTTTGCTTTTACTTTGTTCACAAACATAAATATAGAGTTACTTGTTTTTGTGATTATTTACACCTGCAAACCTCACATATCAGCTATGTAAAAATCTCGGCAACAATTTAAATGATCGTTCGGTCATGTAGGACATCAGGCTGGAAGCAGTTTTTGAAGTTCTCCAAATGGTTTCCTCAAACACAGCTTAACTGTTTGTGCTGGGGAAGATTATCCCACCAAATATCTTCATGTTTGCTAGCATACTGCCAAATTTTCTTTATTCTCTGCTTTCTGTTTCCCCACAATCTCCCATGTTTTCACTTTCTGGATACACCGGTAAAACAGCATGAGCAATGCGGCTCCATACTCCACTTAATTTATCTATGTCCATTTTATCATGCGAATTAACAGTTTCTGGGCCAATAAAAGTATCTTTTAAGAAATCTCTGACTTTCTCCTCCAGTGTGTTAAGTTTTATTTTTGGATCCAATGTGTCATCTGGTAGTAGTACTGTTAGCACCAGTGCAACATCTTTGAAAGCAGAATTTTCGTGATCACAATATTTATAAAGAATAAGAAGTGAATCTGGTGGCAATGTTTCTATTTGGTGTAGCAATGCTGCCTTGGAAGTGTTCCCGAAGCCCTCACTTAAAGTACGGTCTATTGACAGCTTAGCTTCCTCGCTATTATTGAACTTTGTAAGAACCCCGTTGATCACAGTATAGTTGCCTTTTCGCGATTTTGAATACGCCTTCGCAAATTGTTTGCCGACACAAAAAAGGGTTTTCTCTGCATCTTGAGCTGCTGTTAATAAAAGGATGGCAGGTTCATCTAGATGTGATTTATTGAGATGTAGCTCAAACATACGCTGGCTTCTTTTCCATAGATTCTCAGACTGGCCAGGATAAAGAGACCTCAGCTGTCCAATCCATTCTTGAAAAGCTTTCACAGTGATCATTTTCTCATTAACTCTATGATTGTATTTCAGTTGCAGAACAAAAGTTACACAAAAGGCAACACTTACACTTAGAAACATCAGTATTGCAAACTTTAGACAGGTACCCTGTGATGATCCTGAAAAAATAAAAACAAAAAAAAAATCGTTAACAGTTAAACCTACAAACCAGACACTTGTTAGTTTAATAATTTTAGAGCTACACCATAAGAAACACTGTCTAATATAACTCACAAAAGTTTCCCATTGTTTTTGATGGCGGCAGAGCAAACCTTTTCCCAGTATGTGTTTGTGAGATAAGTGGCTTAGAACTCAACAGCACTTCCATACATTGCATAACATGAAGATAACTGCAGCTTAACCCGACAGCAACTGCAATCAACTTACTGATATTTCCATTCATAGTTTTGTGATGTAAATACAAAGAGGAATATCTAGGATAATAAATGACATGCTTACATAACAGAAAAAAAAAAAAGTCAGAAACTAACAAACGTACCACTGTCTTTGGTTACAGTAAGTGGAATGATGGGTGGAGAAGTCTTTGTAGCTGCATATGAACTCGATTTTGTGGGCCTAGAATGAAACTTTTTTGGTTGTTGCTCTGACTCTTCTTCTGAAACAAACACATGTTTATTAATTTACATATAGTACAAGTGATCCATGACAATATAAACTGTATGGTTACTAATGCAATGAGCCTAAATAACACAATGGGGAAACGAGAGGCAATAGCATACACTAAGCAATATGACATAATAGGCATAACAGAAACATGGTGGGATGAGACACATGACCGGGCATTTAACTTAAGGAAGGATAGAAAAAAAAACAGGAAAGGTGGTGGGTTATGTTTGTATTTCAACCATGAGTTAAAGCCAAATATTAAACAAGTAGAATGTGATGAGGGACATGTGGAGACGTTAGAGGTAGATATCTGCTTGGGGTAAAAGAAGGTAAATCAATTATTGGTTGGGATATGTTATAAACCAACTAATGTAGTATGTTAATATTGATGAGGAAGAACAGATGTTAGAGCAAACTGGGAAAGCTAAACATTTGGAGGTCACACTTTAATTATTGGAGATTTTAATTACCCAGACATAAAGTGGGATAGAGGTTATACGTTTTTTTAACAAATGAATATGTGCCAAAGGAAAAAATGCCTAAGCCCCTAGACGTCAGTTGGATACCATGATACTCTTTTGTTTGCAAAGGTTATGAATATGCACATAGTTTCTCATGCATGGCTAGGTCATGTGAAAATGAGTTGGGTGGATTACTGAGTAGGTGAGAGGCTGAAGAAACTCCCCTAGCTCAGGGGTGTGCCAGACTAAGCAAACTGACAAACTTCATAATAAGTTTATAAACTTTATAACAACATTTTGTTGCTTTATTTTAGTTTGTTTGCAAGCTAGTTTGCTTACTATTCCACGAACATAGAAGTCCATTTGTATTAAATTAGCATTTCTGACCACTTAATAAAAGCTTAAAGGGTTACTTCTAGCTCTGTGACCACTTCACTGTTGTGAAGTGGTTATGGTACCTGGAGTCTGTACGTTTTGCTATGAAACGCTGCACACATGAAGATTAACCCTTCCGTTGCAGAAGATGTAACTCCACCTCCTGCCAAATCATTGAATAGTCACTAGCCAGCCTGGAAAAAGAGTTCTGGATTGCTAATAAGAATCCTACGCACATTTGTTTTCTGAAGTAAGCACGCGTACATCATACTGGTTGCAGACAGCCAATGGTGTCACACCCTCCAATCCACAGTGCCGCCCATGTCCTCACCTCAGTCATCACTTCCTGATCTCCTACCCCTCTGGCATTGGGGAGTGATGTCAGCCATGGATGATTGAGTTGCAGGGTGAACTTGGTCCTGGCACTGGACCGAAGTGAGTGTTATATATATATATATATATATATATTTATTTTTATTTATTTTTTTTGGAAGGGGGTGCAGACCGGCACAACAAGGGTTGCTCTAACCAAAACTAGTGTTTTATGAAAAGACTGGTGTTTGGCTGGAGTAAACGTTTAAAAATCAAGACACATGGATTTCACCTAGTGGAAACAGGTTCTGTAGCCAATTTATTTCTGACTAAAGAAATATTGTAGTTTTGAAAACATACAAGGTTTGCGAAATGATCAAAGATATGCCATCAATTTTTTCCTTCCTCCTCCCCCCCAAAAAAACCCGTCTTTTGCAGCTGAAAATTTACTATATTATCTGACCAAAAGCATATAGAAAATCATAATTATAGATAACATACCATCTGAAAATGTTAGGTTTCCCTGTGAGTAATTTCCAGTAGCTTTAGAGTCTGAAAAACAAAGCCTCCAGTTAGCTTAAAATGAGCAGGAAAATAAATAAATAAAGCAAACAGAAGAGAAGAGAAATCTAGGTATAGAAACCGAATACATAAAATAGTACAGCTAAAAGATTAGACATGAAAACATAATAATAAAACTGAAAATATAATAAAACTGCAGCTGCCACAAGTTGTCCACTAGATACCCATAGAAGGTCTCCATTACAATGTTATTGGAAGTTCTACCAACAAGTCGCTACACTTTAAAATTACTTTTGCCAACGTTGATGAGAGAGAGCTCTTGACAAAATTTCCAGGTTGGTAGACTATCAACTTCCCCCACAGAGGACAGTATAAGACGATAAACACTAGTTACCGACTTGTTCCCTTGCTAGTTCCAAAATTTTACCTGCTGCAGCTATCTCACCAAAATGAAAACCTACCTCATCTTGGTGTTAAGGGACAAGTGGAGTGAGATGTTGTTGTTGTTATAATTATTAATATAATGTATATCATGCCAACATATTACATAATGCTTTACAATTATAGAATGGCGATATTTGAAAACGAGTAAATGATAGAAAATAATATTGGCAGTGATGTTGATGGCCCTGCTCAAAGAGCTTACAATCTAGCATGCAGTCACAGTCACTAAAGGTAGGGGTGAACCTTGGAAATGAGTCAGTATTTTGAGACCACAAATATCTACTTGCTGCTACTAATAATAACAGCTTACATGTGGTATTTACTGACAGCATTGGAAATGAGACCTAAAAATATTAAAATTCCAAATTTGGGGGCGGGGCCTGAGCAATATGACAGCTAGACGCATTTCACTTGAGCTCCAAGCTTGAACTTCCCCTTGAGCTGTCTAATTGACTGATATCACCCCCAAACGTACCTCTACCGAGACTTGCCTAACCCTGACACCGGCCGGGGCCCTTCGGTGTACTTCCGTGGCTGGAATGTCCTGTAATCCCTGGAGGTGCGGGTGGGGCCTAGTGTTCACGTTGGTCTGGCGAGGCGGCCGATAGCTGGAACAGAGTGGCGCCAAGTCCCTGTGGGTTATGGAGCAGCCCCCCCCCCCCCTTCTGGACCAGCGGGGGATATCCCAGTCCACACCTCGGAGGCCCTACTCCTACGTGCTCAAGTTAGGGAGATAGTGGGCAAGTCTGAAGGAGTCTACCCTAAAATGGCGGATGCCATGAGCTCCCTTTTGTCTCGGCTAGACAAACTCTTTGCTAACTTCTGGCTGAAGCTGACTCAACGACAGCAGTACCTTGCATGGCAGGAGTCACAGGTCTCACACCGGAGACCACCAGCACAGCACGGATACCGGCCCCAAGATGGGCCCGAAGACTAAGACTAAGCCATATACTTAACAGCTGCCCTTTGACTAATCAGGCACTGGAGAGGGGTGAGCATATGGTGCTTATTACTGAGGGTACTGAGGGAACTGGCGGTTCTCATACTGGCATCTCACTGCTCTGAAGTTGGCTAGTGGGGCCTCCGGGTGGAATAAGCTATCCAACGTTCTATAGTTCTGAAGCTTCCAAACCGATTCTATTCAACCTATATTAGGGCTGTGCCTTGTCTGTCTCTCTCCTTTAAATATAAAAAAGTGCAGCATTATCGACATTTCCTATTCTGCTCTTTAGCATTGCTATGTATACTCCTGTGAAATGTTTGAACCTCCAAGTCTGTTATACTTTGCACTTCCTAAAATAATGAATATAAATAAAAATTCCAAATTTGTTTCTGCAAGTTTCGAGATGTAACCTTTGCAAATACTGTATCTCTCATGCACTACATTTCATTATCTGTATCACTGCCTTCGTTTATGCATAAGAAGGAAAAAAACATAACTTCTTTTCAAAAATGGAAACGCAGATAGCTTTCATTTTATCTAAACAAAAACTTGTAAATTTTATAATCTTTCACTTACCATTTAGGGAACGTGTCTGAGAAACAAATGACTTGTTAAAAGATTGGAATTCTTCATAAGCCTCTTTTCCTTCATCATTTTCTGTCAAGACATGAAAAAACACCAAATATATGTGTATATATGCAAAGGGCAAGCTATTGAGCTTTTTGCCATTCTCAGAGTTCTGATATTCTGTTTTTGTTGCAATATATATCCTTTACTGGAGACTCACAAAACCCCGGCATTTTGGTGTTCAGCCTTCTTCAGGGATGATGAGGAAGGCTGAACACTGAAAAGTTGGGGTTTTGTGAGTCTCCAGTTCTGGGTTAGTATACCCATTTGCTATCTTACATTTTCGACTTATATAGTGAGCATTTCAATGCCTGGGTTTATGTGGCTGTTTACATGGTTCATTTTTTTGCATGCTTGCACTTTATATTTTGTGTGTTTTTTTACATCTTGTTTTTTGAATAAAGATCTTTTCTATGCAATATTTTATGGTATGCTTTGAGTTTATTTTTTCTTTATGTTATCTATGGACCTGGAGGAGCACAGGATTTCTCTTTCTCATTTGGCCGCTGGGCTCCAGGGGTTGGAAGGGGTTAAATTTAACTCTTTTTCCAGCGCCGGGTGGGGGACTCTCCTCGTCATCGTCTGAATGCGCATGCGTGGCATGAGCCGCGCGCGCATTCAGCCAGTCCATAGGAAAGCATTATCAATGCTTTCCTATGGACGCTGGCGTCTTCTCACTGTGAAAATAACAGTGAGAAGCGTGGAAGCGCCTCTAGCGGCTGTCAATGAGACAGCCACTAGAGGCTGGATTAACCCATAGGTAAACATAGCAGTTTCCCTGAAACTGCTATATTTATAGAAGAAAGGGTTAATCCTAGCTGGACCAGGAACCCAGACCACTTCATTAAGCTGAAGTGGTCTGGGTGCCTATAGTGGTCCTTTAATGGCTGCATGTTACATCGATCCACATCTGTTGAGTGCTAGCCATATTTTCTATGTATATACCATAGATAACATGAGCCAGTTAATGTAAATTAATCAATGTAAATTATCTTTGATACAGTCCTTCACTCACTATTTAGGTCACGATTCAAAGAAAAGTCATGCGCAGACTGCACAAATTTAAAATTAGTTCCTTGCTCTTGAATACTTTCTGTCCAAGTGATAGAAAATATACATGGATTACAACAGACGTTGCCATATTTCCAATAACATTATTATATCAGAATTAAGAACATTAAAAAAACGATCTATCGTATTGTCCTTCACTCACGTTTTGGGTGCTCATGCCGAAGAGAAGTCGATATTGGCTGTTTATTCTGCCTGAAGTAAGCATCAGTTCTTCTCGTTTCATACCTATCTGAAAAGGTAACACACACATTATGTAAAAGGGAACAGAAGAGAGGTCATCCCATGACACTGTCACAGATATGTCCAAACCATAAAATTAAAACAATTTGAAAAACTTTCCCTATCCTTTTTTTTAATTTTTTTAAGGTTTTTAGAAAAACAAAAAACCCAAGTATTGTTTTAAGAAAATACTTGGGTTTTTTGGTTTTCTAAAAACCAAAAAAAATAAAAAAAAATAAAAAAGATACGGAAAGTTTTTAAAACTAAATGCAGGCCTAGTATCCCCCTTTGGCCCTCACCCATGAGCAGCGGGTAAGGGCCCTAGGTTACAATGGGGGAGGCAGGCAGACTATTATCATGAGCGGTAGGTGGGGGCCCTAAATGACAATAGGGGGGGGGGGAAGGATCTATTGTATCTCTCCCCCTCCCTCGGCACGCACCCATGAGAGGTGGGTGGGGGCCATAATTACAATAGGGGGGGGTGACCTATTGCCCCACCTATGGGTGACAGGTGGGTGCTAAATGTAAAAATGACCCTCCCCACCAAAGGTGACTGGGGGTGCCCAAGCCACTAGTAACCCCCCTCAAATAAAATAAAACCCTACCTAAACCCCTCACCCTAAATAATAGCAATAAACCTAAATACCTGTAAAAAAAAAAATAAAAAAAATCCTACTTACCATTAGATGTCTTCCTTTTTCTAAAACCTTCTATGTTCAGCCCCAAAAATGACCAAATAAAAATCCATCATTCCCGTTGAACTTAAAATAAAATAAAAACCTGAGCGCGATTGGGGAAAGGTAAGTTCGGCATGACAGTTCCGCTTTAAAATCCAGCAGCATAGTAGAAGATAGGAATTCGAGATAAAGTGCCAGTGCATGACCAAAATATCACAGTGCAAGTGCTCACACTTACTCAGTGGCAACACAGCTTCAAAGTCCACAATAAAAACGCAGCATCATTCACAACATATCTCAAGATATTTACATGTATAGCGTCACTGTATTTTCTTACCTTCCTTAGTTTCTCGTTCTTTCCTTAGTTTCTCATTCCTGTTCCTTTGTTCTTCAACACTCAATGGATCTATCAGGTTTTGGCATAAAAAAACAACCTGAATTGGCTTTTTCAAAACTACACTACCATTTTCTTTTCTATTACCCAAAGCTAAGCACAGTACTTATTTGTATTTCCCAACTTCTTAATGTCCCAAATTATTTATTCAAAATTATTATTATTATTATTTTTTAAATAATTATTTCAGAGCAAAACAGATTACCTAAATCTAATCCTATGGGACACTATGGTGAGCCCTTTTCTTCAAGCTTCAGGGCCACCTTTGGTGGTGGTGTTAGAGTATTGTACTTTAGAGACTTAAGCCCTGACTGTAGACCTGTAAAACCCTGGATCTAAAGATTTTTAATACTGTTATTGTTATCCCGTCACTGATCCATTTAGGAATGGGGCTAGAGAAATGTATACAAACTTTTCTGGTCACATGGCACTGTATTAGTCTAACCTTCATGCAGTGTCAAGAAAACACTGGACAGGACACAGGGGAGCCCAGACCTGGAAAACACTTGAGCAAGTGGCCTTTCCCCCGGTACTTTTTTTTTTCTCTAAAATTCCCTTCTTTTACTCTTAAACTTTCTCTGGCTGCCCATGAGCTGCAGCCAGATTACACCTTACTTTATTATTAGACAATCTGCTTGCCTCTGCCGCAAGAATGTTAGAAAAAGCGTCCTCCTGGTAGCAGCTCAGAAACAAAGTAATCAACCTGTTTCCAGGAGCACACTCCCCCTTCAAACTAGTAGTCCCCGTAGGAAACTGCTCCTGAGCTGCCAGCCTCTGCCCATCTATCCCACAACCGATTTAACAAACTGTTGCACTTTACTCCACTGCAATGCTTAAAGGAATTCTATAATGTTAAGAATACAAAGTTGAGGATGTTTGCATGAGCTCTTTTCTTTACATGGTTGTGTATATATGTGTGACTGTGACCATGAAAAGAAAAGTAGTGGAGATCGGAAAAGAATTGTCCAACTGAATGCAGAATACAGAAGGATAGCAAGAAGATGACATGAGCAAAATGAAAATGAGCAATGAAAAGAGATAGAAGAAGATAAAAGAATGGGAGAGTCAAGAGATCTATTCAAGAAAACTGGGGATCTAAAAGTTACCTTTCATGCCAAAGTGGGTGTGATAAAAGAAAAAAATGGCAGGTACTTAACAGAAGAAGATCAGATAAAGAAGAGATGGCAGGAATACACTGGAGATCTATACAGGAAGGATCTTAACAGCAGTGATGACCTCATAGTTGGTCCAATGAGCTGGAACCAGAAATCTTGGAGAGTGAAGTGAGATGGGCCCTAGGATGCCTTGCAGATAACAAGGCTGCAGGAGTTGATGAAATCCCAATTGAACTATTCCAAATTCTGCAAGATGATGTTGTGAAAATTCTGCTTGCCTTATGCCAACAAATTTGGAAAACTCAACAGTGGCCAAAAAACTGGAAAAGGTCAGTCTACATCCCAATCCCAATCCCAAAAAAAGGCAATGCCAAAGAGTGCTCCAATTATCGAACAATTGCAATAATTTCACGTGCCAGCAAAATAATTCTTAAGATCCTACAAGCTCGACTCAAACAATATATGGAACAGGAATTACCAGATGTACAAGCTGGGTTCCGCAGAGGACGAGGCACAAGAGATCAAATTGCCAATGTACGATGGATAATATAGATAATATAGAAAGCCAGAGAGTTCCAGAAAAACACCTACTTCTGCTTCAGAGACTATTCTAAAGCCTTTGACTGTGTGGATCACAACATGTGGCAAGTTCTTAAAGAGATGGGAGTACCAGATCATCTCATCCGCCTCCTGAGGAATCTGTATGTCAAGCAAGAAGCCACAGTCAGAACCGAACATGGGACAACAGAATGGTTCAGGATTGGGAAAGGAGTGCAACAAGGTTGTATATGGCCACCTTATTTCCGGAATACATAATGCGTAAGGATGGGCTGGATGAATCCAAAGCTGGAATCAATGTTGCTGGAAGAAATATCAACAACTTTAGATATGTGGATGATACTACTCTGAAGGCTGAAAGTGAGGAAGAACTAAATGACCTGTTGATGAGGGTAAAAGAAGAGAGTGTAAAAGCTGGCTTGCTGCTTAAGATTAAAAAGACTAAGATCATGGCAAACAGCAATCTTAGTTCCTGGCAAATAGATGGGGAAGAAGTGGAGGCAGGGACATTTTATTTTCCTAGGATCCAAGATCTCTTCAGATGATAACTGTAGTCATGAAATTAAAAGACGTTTTCTTCTGGGGAGGAAAGCTACAGCAAGCTTGGACAAGCTGGTAAAAACTAAAGATATTACACTATCCACAAAGGTCAGCATAGTCAGAACTATGGTATTCCCAGTAGTAACATACTGATGTGAGAGCAGGACTATAAAGAAGGCTGAGCGTCATAGAATTGCTGCCTTTGTGTCACGTATTCATCCACTTTTAAAAATGTGGTTAATTACATTTACTGTCCACACAAGAAAAGTTGTGCCGAGCAGCAACCTAATCCACAGAAGGGTTAATGCTGAGCAGCAATTATGCAGATGAAACCTGGTAACTGACTTTGGGGTCAGATCTAGAGGATCAGATCTAGAGGAGGGGTATTTAGGCCCAGTTCTCATCCTGCTCAGTGCCCTGTCGTGGATGTCCGAGAGCGCATTCCTGTTTATAGTTTTCTACCTGGTTTTTGACTTCTCTATATTCTGGTATCCTGACTCCTGGCTTTCCTCATCGCTGCATCCCTTTCTGTGTTCCCTGACCTCGGCTAGTATTTTTGACTATTCTATGTACGTTAAATCCGGCCATTCTAAGGACCGGTAATACGTTACTTATTTGTCATCCGTGCTGTACAGTTCTACGTGCTGGATCAAACAGTAATCCTGACACTTTGAACTGTGGTGTTGACGAAAACTGCTTAAAATCCCTTGCATTGCAAGAAGATCCAATGAATCCGTACTACAGGAAATCAAGACAAACTTTTCACTGGAAGCTATGATCATGAGGCTGAAGCTCAAATATTTTGGCCATATAATGAGAAGGCAGGATTCTCCAGAGAAGACTCTGATTCTGAGAAAGATGGAAAGCACACGAAGAAGAGGACGACAGAGACAGAGATAGATAGATGAGGTCACTGAAGCCACGAACATGAAGTTGTTGGATCTCAGAGGGGCAGTGACTGACAGATGTACCTGGTGTGCTATGGTCCATATGGTCACAGAGAGTTAGACACGAGTGAACGACTAAACAACAACAATGACCATGACTGTATCTTTATACGCATTATTATCTATATCTGACTGTGTTTGTGCATAAGAGGGTATGTAAGTTTATCCACATGCATGAGTTTGTTTATGTTTCTCTCATGTGCTGAGCGTGATTTTGCATGTGAGTATATCAACATATTTCTTTCCCAATTAGTATCAGTGTTTCTGTATGTGTGTCTTTCTAATGGAATATCCCTAGAAATATTTACCCGAGTTAAACACACACTTCTAAGCGCAGACAATAAACAGGTGTGAAAAGTAACTGTCCCAAACCAATTTCTTACATTCATGCTCCGATGAACTCCCGCTGCCTTCAGAACTGCTATGACTATTATCTTCCTGATTATCAGAGTCATCTGCGAAAGCATGGAAAAATAAAAAGTTAACCTACAACAGATGAGTTTCAAAGGTGTCTTAGTGCCCTCCCTCCATCAATTTTGGCCTCATCACTTTCATTTTAAAGCACCAGAGCACGAATTGTATAGGCATGAAAACACGATTATTCTAGCAGATGGTTTTATTAACCAGAAAATACTAGCTCATAATTAATCACAGATTTATATTAACTTTTTGTTTACGTTCATTAACATTTTTAGTGAAATCCTGCTGTAAAGGGTTACTCCTACCAAAAAAAAGACTGTTTTTGTTCGAGTTACATCTCTGGCTGCACTGGGCTATATATATATCTCTGTATGTGTAGTGCTTCAAGCTGAAAAGCTGCACATGTAGTCTCCAAGCACCATGACCACTTAAAAACATTAAAGTGGTCATGGTGTTTGGAGCTACCCTTTATGTTAAAACGATATTTCTCCATTATATTTGATATATGATAATAAGGCATACAAATCAGAGACCAAAATATCTATTTTAGCTTTGAAAGGACTCTAGATGTTTAATTTTGTTCTTGTTTGTTGTTTTAGAAAGTGTAAGGAAGTCTCTATTTGAAATACTAGGATGAATTTAACATAACGGTATTGCTGGGAATATGGGAATATTGCACACTAACATACTATTCACATGAGTGTTAACTGTCAGGAATTTAAAGTGATTATCCTTTTTCAGGCCAAATTATCTGAAATGAAATATAGCTAAAATTCACCTTAGTGAATAACCTCCAAATCATTGTATTCACATTTTACGCACACACAAGCAGCTCTCTAAGGGTGAGTAGCTCATTGGTCTGCAACACAATAATAAGATACACCTGACATGGAGAGGTATTAGCCTCTGCTAGGATTAGATGTTTAAATATATAGTCAATTAGGTTTATTCACTAAACATGAAATTGTAGTCATCTGAATTCCAGTTAGCAACACTTAGGTAAATTTAGTCAAGCTTCATAAATGTTGCAATTCAGTTTCAGTTCACTCCAACTGCATTGCTTAGTGACAAAATCCCAAGAGTATTCCATCTAGGTGCAGACAGGAGTTCGCTAGATGGCTGATATATCTATTACCTTCTTGGATATCGTGGATTGCCGGCCGTCCCAAAGGAATTTCTGCAAAGCAAGAAGAAAATATTTTTAAATGGGCAAAACGGATGCTATATCTGATATCAGAAAAGATAAAGTTTTTTTTCTTTTTTCATAAAACCTTAAATAACAAATACTTTTGTCACAAACATTTGTCTACACACATGTAATTATTAAAGCACTTCAACAGAAGGATGTCACAGACACCCAAAACAAAGGAGAGATTTATTCATGTAGAAAAAAAATTGTTCCATCAAGGGACTTCTACTATATAGTTCTGTGCCAGTAGCTGGAAAATTAACTTTACTTACCAATTAGTCTGTATACATTTTCTTTTATTGGAAATTTGTATTACAGACAAAAACAACCCTAGTAATTGTCTGAATGTGCTTTTATTATCATCTCTGAGGCTTCTTCATCTTACAAACATTGCGTGTAAAATATAACAACCATAACAACAGTCATTTCTATTAATCAACTAAAACCCAACTACTTTTTTTTAAATTTATTTACCAACAAAAAAACGTGGTCATCTTTCAAAGATTGCTTATTTTAAAAAAATCTTCACCCTCAAAAACACAATGAGTTACTACAAACCAACACGTAAGTGGAAGTGGGGACCAAGATGCAGGACACACATTAGACAGTTGAGGTAATGATCATATTGTGCCATGTGAATAGCCCCAATCTGATTAAAACGAAAATAAGAAATCGTGGATTTATTTTCTGAAAAGTTTGGTAGAAGGAATATAATTCCAAATATGGAATATCAATACATGAAATACTCAGAAAACTAGTGAGTCACTAAACTTGATCCCATTTCCAGGTGTACGTACTGTGTGATGACCTGTCTGTACAATCCCTGAATGGAAATATTATTTGTAAGAAATGTTCAATCATGAAAAAAGTATAACACACCCGAACTTATATGGGGAGTGTAGTTTTAGCACATGTGTATAGTCAGAAAGTATCTTTCACGTTTTAGAAGCAGAGAGGAGTAAGAGACTCTATATAGAACATTGTTTACCTGTACCACGGTTCTTTCCCTTATTTTTGGAAACATTAATATAGGAAGGCTTCCACTCAACTAAAAAATAATGCAAATGGACAAAACAAACAAACACACACAAATAACAAAACACAATCAGGAATAATTAATTGGTAAAACAGGAGCTTAATCTAGAGATATTCTGTATTTACTCAAAAATCATCTGGCTTTGAGAAAAAGCCTGTTCTGTATTATTATTTAAGTTCTGCAACAATTTTCAGCCCAGGCAACATATTCCATTTATGACAGAGCTTTAAAGAATATATACTTTCTGAAGTTGATTAGGGGTAAAGAGGATGGATAGATGGACGGAGTGTGTGTGTGTTCTCTTTACTTGCTTCGAGTATTTGCTCAAAGAGGACGTTATAGAGGAGCACTGGTGAAGCAAAGTGATTGCTGTGTATGTGCCATAGGACCCCAATGACTCTCTATGAGAAGCACTGGATTGACCCTGAGCAGCTGAACAACTCTGAGAGACCCACTCACCTCTGCATTAGAGGTTAGCAACAGCGGAATATGCTTATCTATAATTGGCTTAAATACCTACAATGTTTTTTGTTTGTCTGTTTTATTTAACAGGGAGCCAAACAATGTTTATTGCATTAAAGGGACACTATAGTGTTAGGAATAGAAAGCTGTATTCCTAGCAACATAGTCTGTCTGGTTCCCCTCCCGGCCAATCCTTTTAAATATAAAGGATCCTTTATCTACTTACCTTATCCCAGCGCTGATGTTACTTGGTGCTGGGTCGGCGCTCAGCCTTCTCCGACGTGGTCTAATGCACATGCGCTGCGATCGCATTTCTGCAATGCTATTCTATGGGGATTTCACTGGTGCTAGATGTATTCACGCAGGGCATCCAAGCAAGCAGGAAGTGCCTCTAGTGGCCAGCCACTAGAGCAGGGCTCGACATATCACAGGCGCCAGGTCGCCATGGCGACTAGAAATTTCACCCTGGCGCCTGGGATTTGCAGCCCTTTAGCTAAAGCGACCGTTGGGAGATCACTGGAGCCGGCCGGTCGCCGTGGGGAGGATGGAAGAGGCCGGCTCAGGGAGCATGTAGCCGATCACCCTAGGGAGAATGGGGGCGGCCGGCTCAGGGAGTGTGTAGCTGACCGCCCTGGGGAGTATGGGGGCATCCGGCTCAGGGAGCGTGTAGCCGACAGCCCTGGGGGGAATGGGGGCATCCGGCTCAGGGAGCGTGTAGCCGACCGATCTGGGGAGAACCGGGGCGGCCGGCTCAGGGAGAATGTAACTGACCACCGGTTGCCGGCTCAGGGATCGTGGAGGTGGCCGCCCTGGGCTGCATGAAGGCAGCAGAAAGGGGCAGTGCACAAGGGAGCAGTGATCTTCCTGTGTGCAAGAGAGCAGTGCTCTTCCTGCAGCTCCCTCGCCGGGGGACGTCATTCCGGCCCTGGTATCACTACAGGGAACTGAGAGGAGCCGCAGGTAAATTACTGTTCCCTCGCACATAGGAAGAGCAGCCCCACTGGACCCCATGGAAAGTCCACTGAGCTCTCCCAAAGGCAGGGACGCTGGGTGGATTCAAATTAAAAATGTCAATGTGTGAGTGTGTATGTCAGTGTATGTTTTTGTGTACGTGTGTGTGTATGTCAGTGTTTGTGTAAGTGTGTGAGAAAATGTGTGTTTGCATGTCAGTGTTTGTGTGTGTGTGTATGTATGTCAGTGTGCGTGTGTAAAAATGTGTGCGTGTGTAATTATGTCAGTGTTTGTGTAAGAAAATGTGTGTCTATCAGTGTGTGTTAGAGTGTTTGAGTGACTGTGTTGGAGAGTGTGTGTCTGTTTAGGTACCTGCCCCCCACCGATCACATGAGAGGTGTTTTCACTCACCCTTTTCCCCACGCCGTGACGGTGTCGCCGTGGCTTGTACCACCTCCATGGCTGAGATCATCAATCTTTATGATCTCCGCTAAACCAACGCTTTCCCATAGGAAAGCATTGGGAGGATATTGCGCATGTTCTCTATGGGTAACATTAAGCACCTCTATGCAGAGTGTGGAGACGCTGAACACAGGACTCTCTAGTGGCCGTCTGAGTGACTGTTACTAGGCAACAATGTAAACAATGCCTTTTCTCTGAAAATCTAGCGTTTATTTTGAAAAGGCTACAGGGACAGGGTATAGGCACCACAATAACTTAATTAAGCTGTGTGGTTCTGGGGACTATAGTGTCTATTTAAGAATTGTATATTTATCATTGTAACTTAAACTGGCTCCTAACATTTTTAGCTGGCTCCTAGAGTCCAAGTAAATTTGTCAAGCCTTGCACTAGAGGCTGTCGTAGTGCTGCAATGTAAACATTGCAGTTTCTCTAAAACTGCCATGTTTTACACTGCAGGACTAAGGGCAATAGTGACACTGCACTCAGACCACGTGTATGAGCTGAAGTGTTCTGGGTGCCTATAGTGTCCCTTTAACTTCGGGACCAATTCCTTAGTGAAAAATTAGCTTCGGATAATTTCTTAAAATCCAATATAATAAATAGCAAAATAAACTATAAGAATCGTAACAATTGTTCAATGGATCTCCATTGCACTGGTAATGTATAGTGGTGCTATAACAAACAATTTATAACCTGCACCAAGCTAATTTTTCTTAAAATTTTTAATAAAAAGAGCCCAACCAATGATGATTAGGGATAATCAACAGGTAGTAAAAGCTATATATTTGATGATAAAATTATCGAATAGTACCATAGAAAATTTTGTTTAAAAAATAATAAAAGAAATCATAAATTTGATCTCTTTTACAGGTGTACTTATACGAGGTATTATTGATTCTGCAGAGATATTCAATTTCAGTCATTAAAAGAAATGAACCAGAACCTTAGATTGGAGGCATTTTTAATTATAATAAGAAACTATCTAGTTTTAAAAGCAGCAAGGCATAAGAGATCATTTCGATCTAGAACATGATTTACCTTTACCTCTGTTCTGTCCCTTGTTTTTGGGAACATTAGTAGATGAGGGCTTTCCACCAACTAAAAGAACATAAAAAACCCAAAATATAATCAGGAACAATTAATAGGTAAAAACAAAAGCTTTTTGGTGGAAAAGGGAAAAAAGAAAATAAAAGAACAACAACTTGATGCTATATTAAAAAACAAACAAAACACTTGCTAAAAAAAGCCAGTTCTGTATTATTATTATTATTATTATTATTATATCTAAACATAGATAGAAACGATCGTATTGTATAAGTCGTAAGGAGTAAGAGATTCAATTCTAGAGCATCTGGCATAGAACACTTTTCAATTCATTTTTAGGATATGCCAGACGAATCGATTCTTTTAAGGAAGAATGCAACATATGTGCATATATAAAAATGAATTTCTGTATTATTCAAAAGATATTCAAAAATTCAATCATGCCATAACACAGTCCAGGTAAAAAAAAAATGGCACATGTGTCAGAGGTTTAAAGCAGCACTTTCACTTGTGGAGTCTTTTCATTTTTGGTGGAGGACAAAGTCACTTTTCTGCTCACATGGCCGTGTCAAGATTATTGGGACATGAGACATGGCTCATGTATAAATTTTCACTGCAAAAGTTCCCAACTATAGATATATCTACAGTGACAGTGCTGCTTTAAAGGACCACTATAGTGCCAGGAAAACAAACTCATTTTCCTGGCACTATAGTGCCCTGAGGGTGCCCCCACCCTCAGGGCCCCCCTCCTGCCAGGCTGAAGGGAGAGGAAGGGGGTTAAAAACTCACCTTTCTCCAGCGCCGGGCTCCCTCGGCGCTGGGGACTCTCCTCCTCCTTTGGCCGTCATCATCTGAATGCGGATGAGCGGCAAGAGCCGCACGCGCATTCAGCCAGTCTCATAGGAAAGCATTCCTATGGACGCTGGCGTCACTGTGAAAATCACAGTGAGAAGCGCGGAAGCGCCTCAAGCGGCTGTCAATGACACAGCCACTAGAGGCTGGATTAACCCATTTGTGAACATAGCAGTTTCTCTGAAACCGTCATAAGTGCGGGTTTGTAATATTTCGCCATCTCAGCTATAGTACGCATAGTACATACAGCTGGTTTATTTGAGCCTAATTGTTGCCATCCAGATTTCAAGTTACTGAGATTTAGTGAATAAACCCTGAAGAACAAAGCTCCACACACCAGAAATATATGCCTAAATTTTGCTGATTGTTTTTCAACTGTATACAATTTGATAAACAGACACCTTAGAATTGATTTAGAACATCCTTTACCTGATCTTGGACTGGCACTGGTATTAAAAGAGGATATTTGTGTAGCATCACCTTTAATAATGAAAATAAAAGACCAAACAATTATCAGTAAGGGTTATTAGGTGTACATCAGCAGTAAATAAGAGGATATAGTTATCATTGACACCATGGCATTTGAGGGGGGGGGGAGTGGTGCAGAGGGGAATCTAGTACACAAAGAGATAACTTTATTTATAAAATAAAATTTAAAAAAGGCAGGCAGAGGGACACTATAATGATAAGAATACAGTTTTGTATTCCTAAATGTTCCTATAACAAGGAAGGGGAGCTTATCAGCTTACCTGCAGAACTTGCAGAACAGGCAGGATTTAAACTTAGGAAAAATATTTCTGAAAAGCTAATAGATGCGTATTTTGCACGTTACCTGCCTTGTTCAAATGAAGTTAAAAAAATATATACACTTTTTTCACCTAGATCTTCCCTTTATTTAACAAGATTTCCTATATAATATCAGGAAGTAATACTTTACTGTGAGGGTAGTGGATGCATGGAATAGCCTTCCAGCTGAAGAGGTAGAGGTTAACACAGTGAGGGAGTTTAAGCATGCGTGGGATAGGCATAAGGCTATCCTAACTATAAGATAAGGCCAAGGACTAATAAAAGTATTTCGAAATATTGGGCAGACTAGATGGGCCGAATGGTTCTTATCTGCCGTCACATTCTATGTTTCCTCCAGCATATTATTATTATTGCCATTTATATAGCGCCAACAGATTCCGTAGCGCTTTACAATATTTTGAGAGGGGGGATGTAACAATAAATAGGACAATTACAAGAAAACTTACAGGAACAATAGGTTGAAGAGGACCCTGCTCAAACGAACTTACAGACTATAGGAGGTAGGGTATTAGAAACATTAGGACATGAAATATCAAGTAGGAGTGAAGCAGAGCTGGAGGAGAGAGCAAAGCACTGTCCCATAGGAGAGAGCAGGAGACAGGTATGTAAGGTAGAGATTACTCAATTGTACATGTGTGCTAGCTATCTACGTGAAAGGATATGTGCCCAATGTGTAAACAAACAGGATCATTCCCTAAAGAGAAAATTCATAGTGAATTTCAAATTTAAAGGACCACTATAGGCACCCAGACTACTTCAGCTTAATGAAGTGGTCTGGGTGCCAGGTCCACCTAGGATTAACCCTGTCTGCTGTAAACATAGCAGTTTCAGAGAAACTGCTATGTTTACTTTAGGGTTAATCCAGCCTCTAGTGGCTGTCTTACTGACAGCCGCTAGAGGCGCTTCCCCGCTTCTCACTGTGATTTTCACAGTGAGAAGACGCCAGCATCCATAGGAAAGAATTGAGAATGCTTTCCTATGAGACTGGCTGAATGCGTGTGCGGCTCTAGCCGCGCATGCGCATTCAGCCGATGACGGGGAAAGGAGGAGGAGAGTCTCCAGCACCGAGGAAGCCCGGCGCTGGAGAAAGGTAAGTGTTTAACCCCTTCCTCTCCATCCAGCCCGGCGGGAGTGGGACACTATAGTGCCAGGAAAACGAGTATGTTTTCCTGGCACTATAGTAGTCTTTTAAGCCAAAATAGATGAATTGGAAGTGTAGCTAATTTGACATTAAAGACTTCAACCTAAAAAATAGCGAGCTATTACTATGCCAGTAAGTACTAGAGTGATCCTTACTGGCATAGTCCTCCCGTCAAAAAATAAAATAAAAAAGTACCTAGAATCCCATACTAAGTGCTACTTGCAGTCTGATCCTCTGGTGACGTCACTCCCCCTCACTGCACGGGGAAGGACTGCTGACAGAAGGACTTGGATGGCAACGATGGGGTTGCATGCCACCATTGGTCATCTTTCACCAGCATGCTGATCACAGACACCAATTATACATACAATTAAGGACCACTATAGTGCCAGGAAAACTTTCCTGGCACTATAACCTGAGTGCCCCCACCCTCAGGGTCCCCTCCCGCCAGCTCTGGAAAGGGGAAAGGGGTTAAAACTTTTTTTCCAAGCAGGGGGGCTCACCCCTCTCTCCTCCTCCCCCCTAATGCGACAGCGCAAGCTGCGGCAAGATTCAGCAGCTCATAGGAAAGAGCATTTACACATGCTTGATGGCTCTCACTGTGAAAATCACAGTGAGAAGCAGCGCCTCTAGTAACTGTCAATGAGACAGCCACTAGAGGCTTTGGGGGAAGGCTTAACCCATTAATAAACATAGCAGTTTCTCTGAAACTGCTATGTTTATTAAAAAATGGGTTAACCCTAGCTGGACCTGGCACCCAGATCACTTCATTAAGCTGAAGTGGTCTGGGTGCCTAGAGTGGTCCTTTAACATTAGCTAGCACAAAATTTTGGCCGAGCACAATCGGATGTAAACATAACAGTTTCAGAAATGCTTTCCTATGGGTGTTTTTAATGCGTGTGCACTTGGGAGCTGACGTCAGGATAAAGGTAAGTGGCTAAAGGGGTTTTAACACCTTCAGCCCAGCAGGAGGAGGGCCCTGAGTGTGGGGGAACCCTAAGGATTATATAGTGTCAGGAAAACTAGTTTGTTTTCCTGACACTATAGTGATCCTTTAATAAACTGGCCATAATTACCGGCCAGGGTTTACTCCATCTCTAGTGGCTGTCTAGCAGGTGGTTAGGCAACTTTTATTCGCCCTCACACTATGCATTAGAACATTCAGCGTCACCTGAAATCCCAGAGGAAAGCATCATTCTGTTACTGTAAGTGGCAGAAGGATTTTTTTTAAGAGAAGGGGGGGACGGGATGTGATGCACACCTGGGACTTGTTTCCATGGTTTTTGGTAAAATGTAGCCATACAACACTAATGCTATTGGAGTTACTAAATAACCTCCATTTATTTAAATATGCATAGGCATTTGGGCTAGTGCAGAGGTAACTTTTTTTTCCCCCTTATTGGTTTTGTATGCATTAGGGCTGATGTATGCTATGGCCGTTGCTGCCACCCAGGAGTCTGAGCGCAGGACTTGTTTTTGTATATTTGTATTCACTTTTGCATCACATGTTATAATTCTGCCACCCATCCCAAGTGTTCCCTATTCAGGGTTAATAAGTATGCAAGATAATGTATCTTGGACATAAAACCCAAGGGCAGAGTACAGAATATTTAATAGAGTCCTAACCTCAACATCTGAGGAAAGGGATTTAGGGGTAATACTTTTAGATGACTTAAAGGTAGGCAGACAATGTAATAGAGCAGCAGGAAACGCTAGCAGAATGCTTGGTTGTGTAGGGAGAGGTATTAGCAGTAGAAAGAGAGAAGTGCTCATGCCATTGTACAGAACACTGGTGAGACCTCACTTGGAGTATTGTACGCAGTACTGGAGACCATATCTCCAGAAGGATATTGATACTTTAGCGAGAGTTCAGAGAAGGGCTACTAAACTGGTTCATGGATTGCGGGATAAAACTTACCAGGAAAGGTTAAAGGATCTTAACATGTATAGCTTGGAGGAAAGACGAGACAGGGAGGATATGATAGAAACATTTAAATATATAAAGGGAATCAACACAGTAAAGGAGGAGACTATATTTAAAAGACGAAAAACTACCAGAACAAGAGGACATAAATCAGGTCTTAAATCAGAGGGACAAAGGTTTAAAAATAATACCAGGAAGTATTACTTTACTGAGAGGGTAGTGGATGCATGGAATAGCCTTCCAGCTGAAGTGGTAAAAGGGGGCTATAGGCTATGGGGAGCTATAATGCCAGGAAAACAACTTTATTTTCCTGTCACTATAGTTTCTCTTTAAGAGGTCATGGTGCTTAGAGCAACCCTTTACATTTTAAATTCACTTTACTGAATAACCCTGATAGCGTCTGAATCTTTGAAACCATATTAGTGAAACACCCCAGTTTGAATTCCCAGCACTTAACACCATCCTGGACCTGTGATGGGTTTACTATAGTAAGTACATAACGATATTTCCTGTCCTTTTTGGGTGTGAACAGCTTTTTATCTAGCGCCTATTTTTTTTACTTTCGATTTTGCCTCTCATTCCATTCTCAGAACACTCACCACCCCACGATTTAAAAGCACATTGCAAGTCTATGAAGAATGGACTCTCTCCACCTCCCGGAGTTTATCCACTTACCGGTAACCTGCCGAGCCTGACTACGAGTAACGCGGCGAAAAGACATGTTTGCCGCCTGTTTCCACCACAGCCGCTATTCACAAACGGTACAGCGCTCACTTCCTAGTAGGGGCAACAACGTTCCTAGCGAGTCTGTGTTCCTACACGTGGCCACTAACTGTGCTACACTGGGGCTGAAACCACGGTGCACAAACTACTGGCAGACTGGGAACACCAGTAGCAGCAAAGGTGATGTGTTTTAATGGACGAATAGATTACTCTGGCAATTCTTTGACTGCTTTATTGATATTTGTTGATATTATTTTGTGCAGCCACCTGAATAATAAGTTTTTATAAAAAAAAAAAAATCAGAGTAGGGGAAGAAAAAAAATCTTGTTTTGACTAGAGTGAATTTAGCATATATGTGTACAGCAAAGGGAGTGTGCAGTCAATAACTGTGTGAAGGTGTGATTTTAATTTGTTTTGTGTCTGATTTAGAAAAACCATAAAGCAGTCAATGATTTGTTTTTACAATTATGAGCTGGATTCACACACCCATGCCTACTTATTTGTAGATTTAACTGTATTCCATTTTAAAAGTCAGTACTTTTTTTATTAATGTTTTTTTATAAGAGATTTCGGTACTAGCCTATTGTTTTTACAATTCTGAGCTGTATTTACACACCCATGCCTACATATTTGTGGTTTTAACTGTATTCCATTTTAAAAGTCAGTACTTTTTTTTTTTTTTTAATTAATGTTTTTATAAGAGATTTCGGTACTAGCCTATTAAAGCGGCTCTGTCACTATATAGTTCTCCCAGCATAGAGATATCTTACCTTAACTACTGGAACCTCCCAGTTGTTGTTTTCATTATTATTATTATTATTATTATTATTATTATTATTAATATAGCGTCAACAAATGCCGTAACACTTTACAATATTAACTTTATCTAACATCACGACTGGTTCAACATGACGTTTAAAGTTGCTCCAGTCCTGCAAGGGCTTTCCTCTCAGGGCCGCCATCTTTAAGATTCCAAGATGGTGGTACCAAGAGATGAAATCTTCTGCCCTTTCCCTGGCATGTGCGTGAAATGACATGCATGCCCAAGGGAACTGGCGTCTTCCACTGATCTCAACATTGAGTCTGTCAACAACGATAATGAGTGATGTGACGCGTGAGGGAGGTGAGTATAGAAGAAGATGGCCAATGGCAAAGTTGATGAAGCAAAGAAAACAATTCGCACTCCCCAGTGAAAAAAAAACAAATGAATGTGAGGGTTAACAGAAAATTCTTTTCACAATAATTGTAGATATCCGGACTCCTCTTAGTCTTCATATAACAAAAACAACCAAAATCTACAATAAAAATATCAAATACAATATATGGACACCGTATGTTTAATTGTGGGTAAGTACCTTAACGTACCTACATTGCACAATTAAGCAGTCTCTTAAGTGTTAACTCCTATGTAATTAATGTGTAAACCTAACAAGCCCTGCTAACATTAATAATCAGGGGTACTCGTTTGTTTTGGCCAGTGGGAACTAACCTGAAAACGCTAAAAAACCAAATGCCTAGGAGTCTCTCCTTATCTAACAAACTCCCCTAAATTACAACCTTCTTCAGATACTCTTAAACGGTTAAAGCTTGTGTAAAGGATCCTTGCATTCGTGCAGCGATTATCCTTGCAGCTTCTCCCGAAATCCAACTGAAACGAAGTGATTATAGCTCCCAATCCCCCAAACATGAGTCGAGACTTCATGAAGGGGTAAAACGATCTGATTTACTGTGGGCTACCCGCCCGGTATTTATGCAGGTCTTCCACCTGGTGGACACTCCCCTAGGGGACCAGATGGAAGACTGGGACAAAAGTAACACAGTAGCCAATCACAGTGGCTATAGCATAAGCACTCCCCTTTTACATAAATCACTCCCTCTTTTCCATCCTGGAGATAATTAACTTAAGGTAGCAAAGAGAGCCTTAATTATCTCCAGGAAGAAAGAAGCATGGCTTTTCTTATTTAGCAAAACAGAATAAAAATATATAACTTTCTTTTTACACAACATAAACTTTAAGTTCCACATATCCCCAGATAGCTTGGATCTGAGGGCATATTCTAGGCGAATAGCGCTCAGATCCCACGAACACAGTTCTCAGAATCGTCGACCGAAGTTTGACTTTCACCGGCCGTTCGTGTGTTTGCAGCCGACTGCAAGTTCCATACTATAGCTATCTGGGGTCGGCCACTTTCGCATTTATTGTTATTTCCACGAAATCCCGCTGTAATTCTCCAAATAACCTAACAGGCTTGTTTGTATAGTCTGTAAATAGGGGATTTCGTTACAGCTTGTTTAAACATAAAGAAATTAAAAATGTGCATGTTCCTCATATGTTACTTCAAGTGTTAAACATGTTGCATTGATGCTTGTTCATGATGATGTGACTTACAGAAAGCTTACCTGTAACTTTCACAAATGCACAACCAAAATAAAGAATTAAAAAAATAAATAAAAATTGTGGGTAAGTACGCTCACAAAAGTGGATGTTATAAGCAGGACATAAATTGATGTGTAGAAGATCTTTCTTCTCCTTGACCTCAATAGCTCAGTCACATGTAAGGAAAGACCTATAAAACCATAGTGCAAGACTGTATATAATGTGAACAACTTTAATATAATATTGCAAAAATCCAGTTAATTAAGGCAGGTCGAAAATAAGTCAGGGAGTTGAAGGATTCACTGGAACAGCGTCCTCGCCCATATGAAATGGTTTATTAGGAGGTGCTTAAAACGAAATTAAATAAAAACACATAAAATATTAGGATATAAACAGTCTGCAAGCCCTACATGTTTCTTCTGGTGGTATGTGAACAGTTAATGCAGCCACCTCTTTAAAAGTCTGTCAAAGGCCACGGAGCAGCCAACCAATCAGTGTGCTTTACTTAAATTATAAAGAAAAAGTGTAGGAAAACCTTGAAACCACAGGTATTAGATATCACCCTCTATCCCCATATTATTAGGATGATGTGGTTGACAGATTTATGTATTTTTTAAATTTTTTTTTATGGGTGGGGTGGACAATGCTATGTACAACCGATTTTATCAGTAGCCCCCTCCCACCGCTTATGGGTGGTGGCTGGGGGACCATTAGGTTCCATGGTTATTGAATCGATAACCCACACCTAGCATGGGTTGGGTCTGGGGAGGAACACTAAGCCCCCTCCATTAATTATCAAATGAAAAAAACAATTGGTTCTCCCGTTAATTTTTATAAGTATCCTCCATCTACTAACCACTGGTAGGGGCACGGAGGTGGGCAGTGGTCCGTCCACCAAATATTTAATTTAAAGGGCTACTTCAACACTTTGGAGCGGGGGTATCTTTTCTGTGTAAAATGTCATATTGGGAATTATGGAGTGGGTCCTCCCGCTCTGATTGCAATAAAAGCTTATTTTTTTTATTTTTTACTCATCTTGAATCCAGCGGGAGGCAAACTTCCTGGTGCTGACTTGCACGCCCCCACCTGACATCATTGGGGCCACGCAGTACAATCACTTATAGAGAAGCCTGTCATCGGAATCTTTGCCGGCGGGCCAGCAAGGGGAAGGAGGGAGTGGGGAGGTGGAAGAAGGGGTATTTGAACCAAAAAAAAAAAAAAGCTTACAATGGAGGAATGTGGGAGGGGGCACCCACAAGGTGGAGAAAGAAGAATTTAACGTCTTTCAGCAGCATGCAGTGTGCGCTGATTCCAGACATTAAATATGCACAGAAATGATATTAGGCATCCTGGAAAATAATTCTGGACTGCCAGTGTCACATGCTGAGGATGCAACTAGCTACCAGCACACAATTACTAATATTTCTGTATGTTCAGTGATTCACTGAAGTGGTTATGGTGGTTAGAGTAACCCTTTAAAGGCATAGCAGGGACGTTTTGAGATGTCGCTAGATTATGGATTCAGTCTGTTTAGTAGATACGTCACTACCCAAGCGCTGGTAGGTGGGGGTCAGGCGGGAGGTATAAAACCTCCCTTATACAAATACGGGGTTCATATTGACCTACATAATCTTTTTATTTTATTTATTCAGTTTTTTAATGTGGGGGCTCGCTAACAGAGACTGTCCAGCTGCCTCATGTTTAACCATTGCGCTGCTGTGGATTTTACTAACTATTTCCGTGCTGGCTTCTAGTGCTACCAGCATGTAAGTCATTTGGATTTTGAAAATCCAGCCCTGATTTCTAAGCATCCGGGTCTAAATTTCAGCCCGTCTGAAATCTGGACTAAATTCAGGCGTCCTGGGAGCTTCCTTTGCCTAAATAGTGTGAACAATGCCTGGATTTTGAAGTCCGCAGTTGCCCCTTACAGCACCCATTCGGTTTGGGGCCATTTGGACTTTAGTAAATAAATTAATAAAGCCACAATAAAATGAATTTATTAATGTTTAGATATTAATCTGCACAGATGACATCCTTTAGTTTATTCTAAACTACATTTTAATGTCACTAATAGATAGTGAAATGAAATCATCAGACTTTACTCATAAAGAATCAGGGAGAGGATAAGCTGATGTTTGAGAAAAAAAGAATTATGAGTGGCTAGAAATGACAACTGTAGCTCGTCTGCAGCTTTTTTTTCTTTTCTTTTCACAGCTGTGTTAGTTGTACAGCATTGAGATGAAACCTTCTTACATCACCGTGTCACACTCCCTGTGCAGACTACAGATCCCTTGGTGCTGTGCCTCAGTCTCCACCCCTTCCTTACACGCTAGCAAGCAAAGGTCAGAATGCTGCCTTCCCTCTAACTGAAGTTTTGTTTCCTTCCAACCAGCTCTCATTGGTTTCTGTTCCTGTAAAAGGAAGTTTGCGCTTGCTTTCTGTTCCTGCTGTAGAGACTGAACCTTGCTGGAACCCTAAACAGATTGCAGAACACAGGTAACTCGACTTGTAGGAAGCAGACACAATATTCGAACACTGTATCACTTGAATACCTAAAACTAAATGTAAAAAATGAAAGTGAGCTGCAACGATTAGAATTCGTAATGATTCCCCAAATCGGCTACGTTATAGCTTTGGCATTTTCAGGCATGAAGTTTAGTAATCGACAATTAACAGTTTAGTGAATGAATATTGGCATTTGAACTCTGCATATCTTTGTTTTTCAGGTTTACTTACAAATTCCTTAAATGTGTAAAAATACATATATATCAAAGCTAATTTCAAATTTAAGGCCAAAAGTTAAAGGGAAACGCCAGGCACCTAGACCACTTCGGCCCATTGGAGTGTGGTGCCAACTCCCACCACACTTAACCCTGCAAGTGTAATTATTGCAGTTTTTATAAACTGCAATAATTACCTTGCAGGGTTAAGTCCTCCTCTAGTGGCTGTCTATCAGGCAGTCACTAAAGCAGTGATGGCGAACCTATGGCACGCTTCCCAAAGGTGGCACGCCGGGCCCTTTCTGTGAGCACGTGGCCATAGGTTCGCCATCAATGCAGAGTAGGCACCTGCCTGCCCAAAACTACAGATTTAGCATACCCTCCCCCACAGCACAGCACCCTTACCCCTGCCCAGCACACCACCCCTATCACACACACAACACCCCTATCACACACACAACACCCCTATCACACACACAACACCCCTATCACACACACAACACCCCTATCACACACACAGCACCCCTATCACACACACAGCACCCCTCACACACACAGCAACCCTCACACACACAGCCTCACAACATACACAGCACCCCTACCTCCCCCCACACACACAGCACCCCTAGCCCAACACACACACATCACTCCTACCCCAACACACAGCACGCATACCCCGCCCAGTACACCTACCCCCACACAGCACAGCACCCCTACCTCCCCACACACACACAGCACCTCTCACACACAGCACCCCTAATCCCCAACACACACACAGCACCCCTAACCGCCACACACCACAGCACCCCTACCTCCCCACACACACAGCACCCCTCTCACAAACACATACACTGCATCCCTCAATGCAGTGTGTGTATTCAGCAGTCTGTGTGTGCGTGTATTCAGCAGTCTGTGTGTGTGTATTCAGTGGACTTTGTGTGTGTGTGTGTGTGTGTGTGTATTCAGCAGTCTGTGTGTGTATGTATTGCATTTGTTGGAGATACTAATAAATATAAGCTTATATTTATTTATATAATTATTTAAAATTTGTATCATTGAACTCTCTGTTGTGTTCGTCTTTTAAATAAAAGTTGTTAATTAGTTCGAACAACTGTAAGAGTTATTTTTTCTAAATTTAAATCTCAATATTCAGGTTTAATTGCTGTGTTGGCACTTTGAGGAAACAAAAGTTGGCATGTATTGCGGTTTGGGCACTCGGGCTCAAAAAGGTTCGCCATCACTGCACTAGAGCGACTTCAGTGTTCTTAGAACACAAAAAGTGATTTAAGCTACGCTGGACGTCCTCACGCTATTCATGAGGACCTCCAGCGTCGCTGAAATCACCATAGGAAAGCATTGAATAATGCTTTCCTGTGGGGAGGTCTAATGCGCGCATGCGCATTAGGTCTCTCCTGCCAAGAGCTTGACCCAGCGCTGAGGGACATCGGCATTGGATTCAGATAAGTCACTGAAGGGATTTTAACAGGGTCCTGCAGTGCCAGGAAAATGGATATGTTTTCCTGGCACTGGAGAGTCCTTTCAACTATGCTTCCAGATCATCGACTTTGGACTAAAATTTTAAATTCACTTTGAATTCTCACATTAGTGAATAATCCTGTATGTCTAATTCTTAAGAACATTATACTTATATCTTATTTGGCAATCCACACGTTCTCTGCAGAATGCATCAGGAAACCGCGTTATCTGTTCCTGTGTGTCCAACTTGTCTGGTTACAACTACATGTCTGTTCGTCGACCCACTGTACAGCTCTGCGGAATTTGTTGGCGCTATATAAATAATAATTATGTATTGGCACAGAGGTTCCTTTATTAGCACAGTCTTTGTTTATTTTTGTTATTTTTGTTTATTCAGATAAATAAACACACAATTTCAGTATAATAGGAAGCAATGTGTATCTAAAATATATCCTTGAAAAATTGAGCCAGATCAACAATTTTATATTTAGACTGTGTTCGCAGATATATAAAAAGCAATACATTTACAGAAATTAAAATTTTATTATATATGTATCTTTTTCACAAATGTTGTCACCACTCGTTTCACTTATAATATTTTGAATAATTTGTGAAGAAAACAAAATGTATTTTGGGACATATATCAGTGATGATGTGCACACTATCAAAGACACCTGGATTTAGTCACACTGTTCAAAAATGATTTAAACAAGAACTAGGCCAGGGGTTGGCACAGTGGCACTCCCAGTCTGATCCCTTATAAGTGCTGTATAGGTATGTAGTAGTTCTGGTGTTTAAACCGATTTTTATTTTTTTTAAACCAGTGTCATAAGAAAGAGTGGCTGTTTTGTATGTTTTTAATATTGGCTTCTATATCTTCTGTTCATGGTAGTAATTTAGGCCATTGAAATTTACATTAGAAGAACACGTGCATGTGTCTTTAATTGTGTTCACATGGTACTGTACCGTGGGATGCACTGTATAACTGGCTTATAAAGGCACGGCACGAAACACACAGTTTGAGTTACCCATACAGCCACACAGCTAGAAATGTGTTGTATGTTGGAGATTACAGGAATGAGGTTCTACTTTCACTTTCTGTTTTCAGAATGGTGAATAATATAAATGGAAGTTTACTTCATATGCTCTCAAGTGATACGAGCAGAGTGAGATAAAAGAAATCATGCAAATGTTAATAAAATAAAATAGAACAATTCTCATCAGTAATTTTAAACAAAAGAGCTGGGGCTCTAGTAATCATTTCACCTGGACGGGCAATCTAATTTGTGGAGAAAAAAAAAAAAGAGCACGAATTTCCCGATTAGAAGTTCAAATACATGAGCCTTTTTGGATTTTTTTCAGTAGTGAACTGTCCGGGTGTCACAGCAGGTTGATGTTTGGGGAGTAGTGGCGTGCTTGAGTATGTATTGATCATTTTTATATGAGTATTATTTTATAAAACGTGGTGAGTTAGGATTTGGACATTACGAGTGAAAAAGGATTGCATTTGCCTGAATTGTATTTAATATATTTTACCATCCGAGTTCCAGATGTGAGTAACGTGTTTGCACTACAAAGAATGTAGCATGTTTTTTTGGTCTGTGCCTTTATAATTTTAGAAATTATGATATAGTAGTAACAAAAGTGCTTGTTTGGCATACTAGTAAACACCATCAGGGTTACTCTCTAAAGTAAGACTTCTTATCAATGCTGCTATTTGTAATACAATTTACAATTTCCTGGTCTTTTCTCCATGATTTCCTATTAAGTGAATAACCCCCACCTGATATCTTTTCATATTAGAAATCAGTCTATGATTGCAGCCTTAATTATACAAAACACTCCAATGTATGAATGCACATGCACAGATTATTTTCACAAATCAATAGTTCAAAGTTGTCATATAGTCTTACTAAGGACAAAGTTCTCTGACGTGCTGGCAACCATATTCTAGTTATAAACTGCTTTTGACCAAGCACGTCTCATGGTGTTGGTGCCTTTCAGACATTTGTTTATATCAAATCAGAGACAATCGCTTTATGACACTTATTTGTGCAATGCTGGGAGAAGCTTGGCAAACTTGTGTCTGCCTGTGTTGCTTGTGAGAAGCAAATTCTTTTTTTAATCTTTGTTCATTTGTTTCAGTTAAGTTTTAGTGGTTGTGTCTCTTCAGACTGTTTTTGTGATTCTCTTTGACTTCCAGATTGTCACGGCTAAAGTAGGAGAACCCAAAACACACAGACCCTAATCTGCTAAAGGAGAGGTATAATGTATTACCTGGCCTTAGGATGGCCGATTTAACGTAAAGAAGTAGTCAGGAAGAAAGCCATGGTCAAACGTAAGAGAGTACAGCATAAACGGTAAGACAAGCCAAAGTTGGTAACAAGAAATCCAAATATAATATAAAGCGCACTCTTGGGTCAACAAGAACCACAACAGGACAACTTGCTACTGAAAGGCCCTGGCTTATAAAGCCAGGAAACCAATTCCATTGGTCTGCATCACTGTAGAACACCTAAACACCCGAATTCGGCCAAAGCCGAATTCGGGAGTTTCACTTCATGCAAACCGATCAGTTCGTCACTTTCAATCGTGCCATTATGACATTAGCGCGACTCCATACAAATAGGCGTGCAGCATTTGACCCGCCGCTGGATCAGGTAGGTCCGGAATGGGTAAGTATGACACAGATTCTTACTCTGGCTTTTTTTTTTTTCATTGAGGTCTATAGTGTTCTTAAAATACATGAAAAAGTAGGGTCTACTTTTTCTTATGTATAACCTGTAACTCAACAAAACTTGGCAATGGGTGGAGTATAGGTCAAGCACCATTTAAAAGGACACTGTAACCAGTATAGCTATTTCATCTCATTGACCAGGTTAGAGTGCTTGAGGACCTCTGGCCTGTCCCTCCATTCAAAATAATTTTTGAGGAGTTTGACATTAAATATGGGTTTCAGACCACCCATAGTCAATACCCAACTGGAGGTATAGCTGAGGCAGAGACTATACACTTCCTTCTAGCCATACCAAATCATACCAACAATGGGCGCTGTGATAGGCTAAAAGTGGTCAGCTGCCACTCCCAACTAATCACAGCCGCCCATTGCCACTCAAGCTTCCTCATTAGCAGAAAGGATTGGCTCTGGGGACTCTTGTTTAGCATTAAAATATAAAAAAAAAAAAAAACCAGTTTAACACTAAAATTAAGGATGGTGCCAGGGGACTTCAAACACTAGAACTACTACACGGAGATGAAGTACTTACAGTGCCGACAATATCCCTTTAAATTAATTTTACCCGTAATACTTCCAAGTATTTTGCATCCTGCGTTGTCAAATCTGGCATATTTTCACTCTTTTCATGTTACATAGGCTGAAAAGAGACATGCCTCAATCAAGTTCAGCCTTTCTCACATATGTATTTGCTGTTGATCCAAAAGAAGGCAAAAAAAACAGTTTGAAGTGCTTTTGCAGGAAACTAGGAAAATATTCCTTCTTGACCCCTGAATGGCAGTCAGATATCTCCTTCGATCAAGAAGCCATTACCCCACTAATAAAAAATAATTTTTCTGAATACTACGTTTTTGCAAGTATTTATCCAATTGCTGACAACCCAGGCAGGTGCCCCAGCAGCCAGTACAGCTTTTCTGGGCCATGTGTTCGCGATGTCATAGCGATCACATGGCTGGATCAGCAGTAAACTGAACTGCCTGCAGTTTCGCCCAAACACTGAAATAATGGGTTAAATAACACATTTTTTATTGTGCTTCAGAAATTTAATAACAATAAGGAATATATATCTATTCTATATAATATATAGGTTTAAAACTAGCAGCACTCTCAGGTTTGTCTTTGTGGTTTTATTCACTGAATCACATCATAAAGTGGTCTTAACAGACGATCAACGATTCAGCCACTTTAGGCCTTTATCAAGATCTTGATAAAGGCTGGAAGTGGCCTAAACGTTGATCTTCTGTAAAGACCACTTTATGGTGTGATTCAATGAATAAAACCACAGCAAATCTTGTCCTGCTGAAAGTTCTGTTACAGAACTGAAATGTCAACTTCATTTGAAGAATTTCATGTAATTGATGTGGAATATTAATAAAGGAAAGCTTTTTTTACAAGTGGATACCTTGGAGTGCTGGTCTATTATGGATACATATCTTAACTGTGACCGAGCACTGGGTAAAGTAACCAATATTTTTTTATCTTCGTTAGAGTGCTGGATTTTTTGCAATTTTATATATATGTATATAAATATACAAACAAAACCAAGAGGGCTGCACTCACCTAAACATGCATACATTATAGGGTGCTGCTGGGGCCAAAATATAAAATATACAGAATCCAGCGCACTCGCTTATTCACTAAACAATGCTTTCAAAATCTTAGAGATTGTAATAGTTTTATTTAAAAACACCTCACCTAGGCAAAAAATAATGGGTGTTTAGTTACATTATATGATCATATATTGCATAAGCCTGCCACAACGTCAATGTACCCCATTCTTGGCAGGTCCTACTCTAGCAGCCTAATGCTTGCCGTTATGAGATTGATCCACTTACTTGGGAAATACTTCCTTACTGGGACTCTCTGCAAGTCAAGGCTAAATAGGATCCTGGAATGAGGCACCTGTGACAGGGAGGGGTGCAAAACCAAGGAGCTGGCCTAGACTCCCAAATATACAAACAGAACCAAGAGGGCTGCACTCACCTAAACATGCATACATTATAGGGTGCTGCTGGGGCCAAAATATACAAAATACAGAATCCAGCGCACTCGCTTATTCACTAAACAATGATTTCAAATCTTAGAGATTGTAATAGTTTTATTTAAAAACCCTATAATGTATGCATGTTCAAGTGAGTGCAGCCCTATTGGTTTATTTTATATAATTGGGAGGCCCAGGCCAACTCCTTGGTTTTGCACCCCTCCCTGTTACAGGTGCCTCATTCCAGGACCCTATTTAGCCTTGACTTGCAGAGAGTCCCAGTAAGGAAGTATTTCCCAAGTAAGTGGATCAATCTCATAAGGGCAAGCATTAGGCTGTTAGAGTAGGACCTGCCAAGAATGGGGTACATTGACGTTGTGGCAGGCTTATGCAATATATGATCATATAATGTAACTAAACCCCCATTATTTTTTGCCTAGGTGAGGTGTTTTTAAATAAAACTATTACAATCTCTAAAATTTTGAAAGCATTGTTTAGTGAATAAGCGAGTGCGCTGGACTCTGTATTTTGTATATTTTGGCCCCAGCAGCACCCTATAATGTATGCATGTTTAGGTGAGTGCAGCCCTCTTGGTTTTGTTTGTATATTTGGGAGTCTAGGCCAGCTCCTTGGTTTTGCACCCCTCCCTGTAACAGGTGCCTCATTCCAGGATCCTATTTAGCCTTGACTTGCAGAGAGTCCCAGTAAGGAAGTATTTCCCAAGTAAGTGGATCAATCTCATAAGGGCAAGCATTAGGCTGCTAGAGTAGGACCTGCCAAGAATGGGGTACATTGACGTTGTGGCAGGCTTATGCAATGTATGATCATATAATGTAACTAAACCCCCATTATTTTTTGCCTAGGTGAGGTGTTTTTAAATAAAACTATTACAATCTCTAAAATTTTGAAAGCATTGTTTAGTGAATAAGCGAGTGCGCTGGATTCTGTATTTTGTATATAAATATAGATATATGATGCCAAAATACCAGAGTCTAATGTCTAATGCCTTAGACTTGAGAAAGGAAGATTGTCCCAAAGGCTTGTCATTAAAACATTCTATTAGTCCAATAAAAGGTATTCCAAAATACAAACTTTATCTGTTTTTTACATATATATCTGTCTGTGTAAGTTCACCCCTGAAGCAGAAGTCCTGCCCATGTGGAAACTAAAAAGTATAGTAAAGTGCAAGGAATATGTAAGGACATGAAGGGGTGCTGGCCTGCGACAGCACTATCCCTTTAAATGTGGGAACCAACTTAGCAGAGAAATAATGCAAGGACACGATGAATGGAGCAATCAAAAAAATATGTATTAAAGAAAGCCAAAGAATATAATATACAAAAACAAAATATGTACAATGCCATATATATATATATATATATATATATATATATATATATATATACACACACACAAAATCAATAAATACAAATAGAGCAGGCAGAGTACACGTGATAGTCCTTAGGCAGGATCGTACAGCCACTACAGAATATAAGTGGGACACGGATCCTAAGCCACCAAGGAGCAAAGCCCAAAGAGGGTCACACGTAAATAAGGCAGCAAGGTCAGAATCACTGGAAATGAAGTATAGGCAGGAACACTGCAAGCGAACACTGGAACGGGAGGCACAGGACCATAAGGACATCGGATCAGGAGAAAGGATACAGGAACCAGGAAACCGCAGACACAGGATAAAGGATAATGATCTGACAGGGAGTGAGGGGAGAAACCAGAATATATAGGTGCTAAACAATGGCCAGGTGTAGTGCTTAACTAAAAGAAATGAGAAACAGTGCCAAACAGAAACAGTGGTGAGTGTGAGTACTGCATGAGGGCATATTAACTAAGAAGTGTCGTGACAGAATACAAATCTGTATTCCTGGCACTATAGCTCTCCCGTGTCCCGCAGGCCCTCCCCCCCCTCCCCCCCCCAAATCAGGATGAATAAAGGGTTAAAAACCTTTTATTTACTCACCTTATCCCTGAGCCTATGTCACTCGTTGCTGGGTCAACTCTCCGCCCCATTCAACTTCCCGCGTCAAGCAGGCACTAATGAGCATGAGGACATCCAGCGTCAGATACCTCACCTAAGGTCCGTTTTAATCAAGGAAGTCCTCTAGTTGCTGTCTGGTAGAGGGAGTCCTATTTTTCAGGTGTGCTGCCTTATATTTATATCTGTAAGGTCTAGTATGTTAGTGCTGATCCTTTGTACATATTTTCACTGTAGGCAGACTTAGTGCTGCAATGTAAATATTGCAGTTTCTCTGGAACTGCAATGTTTGACATTGCAGCACTAAGTGCAAAAGGGACACTGCCGCAGGCCATTTCAATTAGCTGAAGTGGTCTGGGTGCCTATAGTGTCCCTTGAACTCATAATCTACTGTATTGAATGGGACACTTTAAAAATCACATACCGAGCATGTCTGAGTTGCTCTGCGATTGGATAAATTGCACGACTGACCTATATACTACACCTGCACTGCTGCCCTCAGAGTATCATTATCAGACAGCCATCATTCATTCAGAGAGTCCGTGAGCTATAACACGCACCTCATTTTAAGAAAGAAATTTCAGGAAAAAAAAACTTAAAGGACCACTATAGTGCCAGGAAAACATACTCGTTTTCCTGGCACTACAGTGCCCTGAGGGTGCCCCCACCCTCAGGGTCCCCCTCCCACCGGGCTCTGGAGAGAGGAAGGGGTTAAACACATACCTTTCTCCAGCACCAGGCGGGGAGCTGTACTCCTCCTCTCCTCCTTGCTCGCGACGTCATCGGCTGAATGCGCATGCGCGGCAGGAGCCGCGCGTGCATTCAGCCGGTCGCATAGGAAAGCATTTACAATGCTTTCCTATGGACGCTTGCGTGCTCTCACTGTGATTTTCACAATGAGAAGCACGCAAGCGCCTCTAGCGGCTGTCAATGAGACAGCCACTAGAGGCTCTGGAGGCTGGATTAACCCTCAGTATAAATATAGCAGTTTCTCTGAAACTGCTATGTTTATTTAAAAAAGGGTTAATCCTAGAGGTACCTGGCACCCAGACCACTTCATTAAGCTGAAGTGGTCTGGGTGCCTAGAGTGGTCCTTTAAATTTCAAATAAAGAACTTCTTACCCCCCTTTCTTACTCCCCCTCCCCCTCTTCTTACTTCCCCCTTCTTACTCCCCTCTCTTCTTACTCCCCCTTTTACCCCCTTTCTTACTCCCCCTCCCCCTCTTCTTACTTCCTCTTACCCCCCTCTTCTTACCCCCCTTTCTTACTTAAAATTTGTTGGTATTTGTTAGCACTGGTTAAAGAGAAACTGTGATTTTTGAGTATTTCATAAAGACTGAACTCTCTTCAAAAGAGTTTCCATTGGTAAATTTTATGTCTTTTCCCAGCAGCTGTCCCTAGCAATAACTGTAGGTTAAAGCATCGTCTTGCAGAGTTCTATGGAGTTCTCAGGCGTATGAGCTAGAGTACAATAGTGTATTAAGCAAATATGTAATTGAGAGTTATGGATGTCTCCAGAAAACCCATAGTTAGGAGTAGTGCTAAGGTTCTTTTAATGTTAGGGTCGCACCAGGTCATACATGTTGGGAATGTTGACGGGGAAAAAAAATTAACTAAAAACTGCCACTACTAAGTAAAATTTTTATTTTGATAATAGACTCATTGACTTTAATGAAAGTCTGTGCCCCTCTTTCAGAACACATGGACGAAAAGTAATGATCTTCTAAGACAGTCTCCCATATTCCTCAACAAGTTATAAGCAAATAAACTCTAAAGGATTGATACTGAAGACAGACGGTGATGCATCTATTCTAGAAAACAGGGCTCACAAATCTCTCAGCTCAAAGAAACACACAAAACCTGGTATTTGCATCATATTCTGAAGAGTGTGTGATCTATACCATCTCTGAAAAGAGGAAATTTATTTTGACTAAAAGATTGAGGATTCATTGAAATCATGAACACAGAAGAACAGCTTGGTGAATAGTGTCAGTTGTGGGCACAAAACAGAAGCCAGGAGAGAAAAAATATCAGTGGATACAAGAAGCAAGTCTGGTGGACATGGAAGGAAAGCCTAGTGAAAATGCAGGACCTGCTGGGGATGCAAAAGAAAAGTCTTCTAATAACAGAGAGTCAGTTGTGGACACAGAGAAAAAGGTTAGTGAAAAAACTAAGCAAGATGATGTCCCACAAGATTTGTATGTGGAAAAGTCAAGCTCGGTGTCAGAAAATAATGACAAAAAAGAATCCGCTTTGGATATGGAGCAAAGTGCCAGTAAAACAGTAGAATATCCTAGTGAAACATCAGCCGAAAACACAGAAGAAATATCTCACACTGGGTCAAGTGTAGAACCAGAGGCAGATAGAAGCCTGGAGAACAAAAGAAAACCATCCACAACGGACATAGATGAAAAGCCTGGTGAACATCCAGAGTTAGTTGTGGACATGAAAGAAAATGCAGGACCTGCTGGGGATGCAAAAGAAAATACTAGTGATAACAGAGAGTCAGTTGCAGACACAGAGAAAAGGGTTGGTGAAAAAACTACGCAAGATGATGTCCCACAAGAAAATAATGACAAAGGATCAGCTTTGGATATGGAGCAAAGTGCCAGTAAATCAGTAGAATATCCTAGTGAAACATCAGCCGAAAACACAGAAGAAATATCTCACACTGGGTCAAGTGTAGAACCAGAGGCAGATAGAAGCCTGGAGAACAAAAGAAAACCATCCACAACGGACATAGATGAAAAGCCTGGTGAACATCCAGAGTTAGTTGTGGACATGAAAGAAAATGCAGGACCTGCTGGGGATGCAAAAGAAAATACTAGTGATAACAGAGAGTCAGTTGCAGACACAGAGAAAAGGGTTGGTGAAAAAACTACGAAAGATGATGTCCCACAAGAAAATAATGACAAAGGATCAGCTTTGGATATGGAGCAAAGTGCCAGTAAATCAGTAGACTATCCTAGTGAAACATCAGCCAAAAACACAGAAGAAATATCTCACACTGGGTCAAGTGTAGACCCAGAGGCAGATAGAAGCCTGGAGAACAAAAGAAAACCATCCGCAACGGACATAGATGAAAAGCCTGGTGAACATCCAGAGTTAGTTGTGGACATGAAAGAAAATGCAGGACCTGCTGGGGATGCAAAAGAAAATACTAGTGATAACAGAGAGTCAGTTGCAGACACAGAGAAAAGGGTTGGTGAAAAAACTACGCAAGATGATGTCCCACAAGATTTGTCTGTGGAAAATTCAAGCTTATCGTCAGCAAATAATGACAAAGGATCAGCTTTGGATATGGAGCAAAGTGCTAGTGAAACATCAGCCGAAAACACAGAAGAAATATCTCACACTGGGTCAAGTGTAGACCCAGAGGAAAATAGAAGCCTGGCAGACCCAGGGGAATTTGCACTTGCAACAACAGAACAGAGTTTAGTCCGTAACAAAAATGCTATTAAAAAAACAGAATCTACTTTGAACAAAGGGGAAGATTTTAATGAAGGGAAAGTGCCAACTAATGTCACAGAAAATAATAGTAGTCGAACAATAAGATCTTGTCTGGACTCAGAAAAAATACCTTTTGAAACATTAGAGCTGGCTAAAAGTGCAAATACTGTGCTTTACCAGCATAGTAAAGAAAGTAACTTGCATGACAGTAACCTCTTCTTGACATCAGAAGATACTCAGAAATATGTGGAAAAGTCACCATCTATTGAATCAGAAGAAAGTTATGAGAGCAAGCAAGTGGAAAGGTCACATGGAGCTAATTTAGAAGGTAAGCAGCACAAGTTTAGTGATATCCAAAAGAACATAATCCAGCTTGTTGCTGTATGGCAATTTGCCTATACATTGATACAAGTTAAAAGTACAGTAATGCATCACAAAAAAAGTTAAAATGTATGTGTAAACCTCCTAATGAGTGAGTTTTTTGTTTTGTTTTTTAAGAATCCTTATTTAGAGATTTTTTTTTGATACAAAGAATGAGAGTACAGTTATGAAGTTTGAACAAGACGTATCCAACTAGATATTGCAAACAGCACTTTAATGGGTTTTATTTTAAAACGGGGTTCATGATATATAAAAGCAAAATACTGTATTGTCAAATAATATACAGAGATATGAGTTTATATAAAGGGTGACAATACCTAACCTGATCTGCAAGGGGCTGTGGGCCCGTCTTAAGCAAGGAGAGAGATTTGCACAGAGTGAGCTTCACCAGAGGAGTCGGAGAAGAGTGAGAACACTGCTTGTAAAAAAGTATGATAAATGGAATGAAGTCAGAAACAGAATAGAAAAAAAGAAAGGGGATTGGGGAAAGAGAGAGCCGTCTTCAAAACCACTCCACAGTCACACTGCAAGACCTCCACCAGGAAATCAGGCAAAGTAGGGAAAGCCAAGGTGCACTAGATGTGAGGTATTAGATAATTAAATAATACAGATTTAAGAACAACACACACCCACACAAAATTAAAAAAAAGTTTTTTTTAAATCTTACAAGGTTTACTTAAAATCATTAGAATTTGGTTGTATCATATGGTCATAATGTGTTAAGCTCACCACTAATTCACAGCACTCCAATATTGGTGCATGCACTCTAAATTTAATATAAGAGATAAACATGCCAAATGCAGTAAAAATTACTTAAACCGCTTATAGAGACTCTCCTCAAGTTTATGCTTTCCTGTAGCTACAATGGGGCATCTGAACCCAAAAAGAATACCGTCTGGTTTCCAAATATCCACAGAAAAAAATTAAAATTGGGGGCACACCCAGAAACTGCACTTATCGATAGTAGTGTTGCTGTAAAGGCCAAAAATATATACAAAATATAGATGAGGAAAAGCAATTACACACATACAAATGCAGTTTTAAATCTTACAAGGTTACTTAAAAATGATATATCTTAGCAATGAAATGTTGATTACACATGGCCATATGATGTTTATCCCACCACTATGTCGCAGAACTCCATAATTGGTGAGTCCTAAGTTAATATTAAAATGGGAGATAAACATGCGAACTACACTACTTACTGCTTAAACAACTTCCAGAGATTCTCCTCAAATGTATGCTTTCCTCTGGTTCACTTAGTCTCAGTATTTTTCCTCTGCTTGACAATTCTTGACACTCTGTGGAGCTGCCGCTGTCAAGAATTGTCAGCCTCACAGCTATCACAAGTGAAGGCTGCCGGGAATTGGCTCTTTGTATGGAGAATCTCACAGTTTCGCCGGATCTTCTATAGACCTCAATGCTATACGATCCACATGCGCAAGAGTACAACACTGACGTTTTCTCCTGGTGCGTAAGAGGACCAGCAGTAAGACAATGGCAGCGCTCGCGAGGGACAGGTTCAGGTAGGTAAAACTCACCTTTGCCTGTGGGCCACTGAACCCCCATCGGCGATGTCACCATCAGACATCAAATTATGCGAAGTCCCCAGACTTTTACTCAGTACCTAGTAACAAGCAATGGCAAGGAAATGAAACCGTTTATAACAGCTCTGTATTTTTGTGAACATTTTCAAAAAATATATAATCCAGCCAACAAACATGTCTTTGTTTCAGATGAAGACTCTAAACAGCTACGGGCAAGGTATCGTCCTCAGTTTATTCAGAAGACTTCATCCATGACTCCCAAAACTTCTCCAGGTGTGACTAAAACAAGTGGTATGTTTATGTGTTCATTTCGGTCTTTGTTTTAAGACCAGATTGAAAACAAGTCATCCCAGATTTTTCATATTCCTTCGGCAAAGTTTTGATGTCTCTCTTTTGCAGGCTCACTGCTGGCCCTCGACTCTCAGGAAGATGAGACACAGATAAAAACAAGTAAGGCAGAGTATCTGGAGAAGAAACAAGATTCAGGTGAGTGTGAGGTGTAAGCCAACTGGGATGCATAAATACAGAGTTGCATGTTGAGTCTTAAGACTCTAGATGATGTAAGATCAGCAGTAACATTGCAAAGGTTCTGAGTGTATGTAGTGGAGGGATTCACAGCTGCCCACAGTAGAAATAGGGTGCTAAGGAGAGAGAATAACTTTAGCTGTAATCCTTTTTATTTTTTTATAATAGTAGTAATTTGCACTGACGAATATTCTGACATGGTAATGGTGAGGTTAATGACAGACTAACATATCCTTTTTTGTTCTTTCATTAAAACACAATTTACATAGCGAAAGGAGATGAACAAAGTATTTGTAATGTAACCATTATTAAATATACCTGCATCTCATATAGCTGCTTCCATTCCCATAGGTTAAGTGGTGTGGGTCACTTGAAGTAGAATTCTTTATGGTTGTAGTGTGATTAGTTTTCTTTCAGCCCTTCTCCTCTTAATCATGTGTCCAGTTAAATCGGTAAATTGATCAAGGCATCAAGCGTCTCAGTTTGAGCTAATTAATCTATTGATAAATTGGACAAACCAATGCCAAACTTTAAGGCCAGCTCCTAAATCCTACAACAAACACTTTTACAGATGACTTTTTTGGAAATTGGATTCAGAGATTGCAAATCTATACGTGTTGTTAAAGAACCGTGACATTTCATTGGTAGATGTAATCAATGACAAGATCATTTCACTCAATGAGCAGTAACCCAAGTTGGCCGATTCCTCTTTAAACAAAGATATCATTTTCAACATCTTGATGAGGTCCCATTACTGAATAAGTTTAAGTCATGCACATCCTGCATAGTCTGAGTTAATAAGTCATCATCAGTGGTAATGTCTTCTAGAATATTATTTCGAGCAGAAGGATGCATAATATGAGTAGTAATATGTCTGCAATAAGATCCGAGGGAAGAGTGAATTTCCATTAAACCTATGCTAAATCTTACTCCCTAAAGTACACTGTGATTTATACATAAAAATAATCAATGTAAAGAAACTTGCAAATCTGTGAGATAAATCATAGGTGAGATAAAATCACCTTCAGCATTGGCCACTTCAGTTGTGTGTAAGATCAATATGTGTACAGAGCAGATCAGAGGAAGTGATGGTATTGAAGTTTAGAAAATGTCATGTATCAAAGTCCAACCATGGAGATAGTATTCAGTAAATGTAACTAACCTAGGTTTATCTTTTCCTTTGCAGATCCGTATCTCACTGTTTGGCAGAAGAAGCAAAAAGCACTGGTGGGAGGTAAGGATGTATTAATAGATAAAGTATAGAATGGAATCTGGCTTTTTGTTATTTATGTTAATTCTGGTATAGGACATCTCCACTTGTGATCTTGGGACCGCAGGTGCAGATCTCTCCGATAATTCATGGGTGGCCACCCGTTCTCCTACTGTATTAAATTGTCCCAATCAGTATGGTAAATAACACTGTGTTGGTCCATTTGTTTTCTGTCCTCCCTTGAGAAAGGCTTACAGACAAAACGTTGTTGGTGTCTCTTACTACTCTTAATTTCCAGTTTCACCAGTATTTTTTAGGTTTTTTGGTTTGTTCTTATTTTTCTCTGTTGCTTCATGCCTTTTTATATCACTTCTTTTTGGTTGTTTGTTTAACCTTATGGAAGAGGTGGATCAAGCCTCTGCTTAAATACCATATTTACTTGAATCTAATGCGCCATTGAACCTAATGCACAGCTAACCACAGGAAGCTGAAAAAATGTTTTTGCTGTCGAATGTAATGTGCGTTTATACAAGAAGATATTACTATACAACATTGTGCTACGAGGAAAATGTTTATTGCCATATACTATAGTAACATTGATGGTAATTACATTTTAGTGTTACATATTAAGTTTATTCATTCTTAAATCCTTTTTTAGGAATGAAATTTGCCCGTGTGTTTTTGCCGGAATGAAATTCCCCTGTTTGAATTCACCAGTTTGAATTAGCCAAAATGCAATACGCCGGAAGATTTAAAATTTGGCCCCAAATGTAATGTGTCATCGGATCTAATCCGCATTCAAATTTTGGAAACTTTATTTTCCAAAAAAGGTGCACATTAGATTTGAGTAAATACGGTATATTGTATTTTTATTGTTACAGAGGTAGATTAGTATTATTTGTCTGTTTGCATTGTACTCTTTGTATGTTTGTTTTTGTTTTTTTTTTTTTTTTATATTGAGATATAGCATGTCACAGGAAAGTCAGACATTTTTGTCAGAAAGTCAGACATTTTAATGCTCAAATACCTCATTTTCTATAGCATACACGCAAAAGAAAACAGTGTTGCTACTTTGACAGTATAATAAATCTGCTGACATTTTAGTTATACAATTATGAAAAGCATTTCATAGCGGTGTACGCATAATCTGTTGCCAAACACAAACCCTTTGTAGTAACCAAGTATTTAAAGTTAGGTTGGTTAAAATAAAACAAGATAAAGTAAAAATAAACACATGAGTAATGATGAGTGCAAGTGTAAAATATCACTCAGGTGAGCAGGGTGGTACCAAAGGTATCCTCAAACCATGCATAATTACTCATGATCTGAGTGTTATATATCAATATAGTAAGGCAAGTCACATATAACAAATCTGAACTGTCAGGATAGCTGTAAAATTAAAGGATGGAATCATCAAAGCTAGGATATTGCTTAACATTCTGTCACACGGTTCAACAAGAAATTTTCACTAATTGCTCATTTACGATTAGGATACCCCTAACATAGGAGGCAGGAGGGGGGAGAGTATATCTCACCTGAGACAGTGAGTGAAGCAAACTTATACAGTGCCCCGTAGAGCTGTTAGCACGAACTATCTTGGTTAATGAGACATAACAACAGTGAAATCAACTTGCGGCGTTGCAGTGAAACTTAGCTGCAAAAGGAATAAAACAATGATGACACTAGCGGACGGTGTCCCCAAATTCTCCACTTGCAGCTTCAATCAGGTTTCTGGGTGATCCTCCACTGCTCCCCTCTGAACAAAGGGAACTGTGAGCATGGGATCCAAAGCTTGAGTAGATTTAGGCTTGATCATCTCAGCAGCCAAAGTGGGTAGTCCCAAATCTTGCAAAAATGTTGAGGCATGAGCAGCAGAGCTGAGCTTATGAACAGTCCCTTGCTGGGTCATTATCAGATTCCCCAGAGACCCCCCCCCCCCCTCTATAGGAGTCTTTCAGCTGACTGACACGGAATGGACTATGACATCCAGTGTAACAGTGGTAGGTGCTTTTGGGGACCTTGGCAGCCGGTATATCCCATCAAATGTCAGCTTTCTAGCCAGATTCTGGGGTTGTATGTTAGCTATCAGGTGTCTCAAATAATGTGGCAATTCTTCAGGAAGAACTGTGTCAGGAATGCCCCTTATCTTAACATGATGTCGCCTATAGCGGTCATGTGTGCAGAAGTACCTGTTGAGAGGATTCTACTCTTCTGAAGGTGTCCTGCATAGTGAGTTGAGTATGTCCTCCTCGGAGATGCAGACCCTGTCCCTTACCACCTGAACATTCTCCATTGACCTAAAATAATTTCTTGATATCCTGTTTGGTGGCCAGCTCTGATCCCTCTTGAGGAGCTGGAGAAGCTGGGAGCATAACCGGGAGTGTGGGCTGAGAAGGTGAGTCAGTTGGTTCTGTGGAGCTAGGTAAAATATAGGCTGCCATCTTCTGCTGTGGACATTTTCAAAGGGTTCCAATATCCCTCATCTTCGATGTTGTGCCTGCAGGTTGTCTTTGTGAGCAGCGATTGATCCCCCAGCTGCTGGAGTTGTTCGGTTTCAGGTGCTGGCATAAATCTACCGCCTGAGATCAGCTTAGGAGAGACTAGAGCCCGGAAAGGGTGGATGAGGAGTAGGCTGCAGGCCTGTGCTTCAATTTTTTCGCCTTTGGGGTGTGAAAGAAGGGCTGTACATGCAGGGGGACACCATTGTCTGGTATCAATGTTGTTGCGGGTCTGTGCTTAAAAGCCTTTTTCCAATAAAGTTTTTGTCAGTGCTTAAACCTCCAAAACTTTGTGTCATCCAGTTACTGGGGGTAAATGGGTCTCTTAATACATTAACAGCAGGGGTAACCAGCCAGGTTACCCAGGTCCCGCTACAAATGTGTTTTAACCCTGAATGGTCGGTAAAACCTAGTTTGTAGGTAGCTTTTTTTTTTTTTCCTGTGGTTAGCTTTTCTTGATTCACACAGTGTGCCCTCCATGCTACTTGTTTATGTTGTCTCAGGCATTCCCTTAGTCATTCATCTTTGAAAGCCATCTTTGTGATGTACTTGTGGATCCTCTGTGTTTTATCCTGGACTTAACCTGTCCTCCTTCTGGCTGGTGTACAGTCTCTGTGTGCTGGATTTCAGGTGGAATCCTCTATTCATCGTGAGTAGTTTCTGGGGCTTGACATCCATGGTGACCAGCTCTTCTCTTGGCCAGGTTATTATTTTAGCTGGGTACCCAATGACTCATAGAGGATATGTGTTGATCACTTGGATGATCTTCTTGCCATTATTGGGACTTCAAGATCTGTCTGACTTTCTTGAGGTACTTGGATGTTGATATTCTCCTTGCTTCTTCCTCATGGTTGTGTCTGTGGTACCACCAGGTACCTGTAGCTGTTCTCTACATTTCCTATTGGATCTTCTGGTACATTAACTCCTTTTTCCCTGATAACCTTCTCTCTTCTTGCTATCATCCGCTCACACTTATGTAGTCTGAATGACATTCCAATGTCCTTGCTGTATATCCTAGGTGGATCAGTGAGTCAATGTCCTGCTCACTTTGGACTTACAGCTTGATGTCGTCCATGTAGAGTAGGTGGCGGATGGTAGCTCCACTCTTTAACCTGTATCCATAGCCACTCTTAATAATGGTCTGGCTAAGGGGGTTACATAGTTACATTGCTGAAAAGAGACTTGCGTCCATCAAGTTCAGCCTTCCTCACAAATGTTTTTGCTGTTGATCCAAAAGAAGGCAAAAAACACAGTCTGAAGCACTTCCAATTTTGCAACAAACTAGGAAAAATTTCCTTCTTTACCCCAAAATAGCAGTCAGATGTCTTAGAATCCTGTGTGATTGCTTGGTCTACCAGCAGTTGGTGTTTTGATTCTCTGGTGGTTTTTTTTTTTTTTTATTTTTTTTTATTTTTATATATTTGGGTCCTGGCATTCATGGCCTGGCCTCCAAATTCCCCAGATCTTCGATTTGTGTGATGTGCTGGAACAACAAATTCGATTCATGGAGGTGCTACCTCACAGCTTGCAGGACTCAAATGATCTCCTGCTAATGTCGTGGTGCCAGATACCACAGGACACATTTCCAGATCTTATGAAGTCCATGGATCAATGCATCAGAGTTGTTTTGGCAGCACGAAGGGACCTACACGATATTAGGCAAGTGGTTTCAATGGTGTGTGTGTGTGTGTATGTGTATGTGTATTTGGAGGAATTGAAAATTGATAGCACTCTGGGACTTTTTTTTACAAAAAGTACAACTTTTATTGATGTATCACTATTTCAGATTAATATATTTGCCAATGTGGATAGTGCACTCTCATGGATCCCAGGATGAGGTTGGCCAATCCTCACAATGTGATTTGCAAAAAAGTAATGATGGTCCAGGTACTCAAGTTCAATTCAGTAGACAGATTTATTGGAGCAAAATCAAAACAACGTTTGACAAAGGCCCTGTTGTAGGCCAAAACGTTTTTTCAGTTTTGCTACAATAAATCTGCCTACTGCATTGAACTTGAGTACCTGGACCATCATTACTTTTTACAAATGTTTCAGATTAAAACATAATCTTTCATCGGGACAAAGTGCATAAAATAACAGTTCAAGTATTTTATACCTTGTAAGTATAAACATAGTGTGCTCACCCCACTCCCAAGTATGTAAACTTTTGCATTTCCAGAGTGGTATTCATTCTCCTTAACTTTTGTATTTTGTGCTGGATTACGCACCAGTAATCAGATTATAAGAAATGACGATCTCAACCAATCCAATGCTTTCCATATGAAGGCATTGGATTGGTTGAGATTGTCAATTCTGATTATCTCAGCCAAGGATACGGATCAGGGGCGGAGCCAGTGCCAGCAGACCCACGCGGCTCTGTAATAAAGGTACTTTTATTACCTTTTTAAGGGGTGCAATGGGGGGCCGGCCACCTAAATAAGGTTTTTCCACTTTAGAGTCAGGAATACACGTTTGTATTCTGGACCCTATAATGTTCCTTTAGGCATTTGGAACTTTAGAAAATGGCTCCATGGCTTTATCAGCCTTAACTCTATAAATGCTAGAATTGCCAAGTATATATTTTTTTTTAATATAGATTTCCAAATCTACAAACATTGATCGAGATACCACTATATATAGCACAGGTAAAAATACTTTTGCATATTATTTACTTGCTCCATGTAACTTTTTTTTTTTTTTTTCTTCTATTTCAGGCTTTTTGTGTGTGGTTGGTGTGGGGATCCTTTTCTTGTATTTTCTTTCTGGGTCCAGTCCATCTGCCGATCCAAATCCCTCAGTGCTCCAGATATACCAGCGTGAATTTGAAAGCTTTAAAACTTATTTTCCCGGACAGAATGAAGCTCTTTGGTTGAGAAGCCAAAAAATGCATCTAAAACATCTAAACAAGTCCAATCCCCTGGAGCCTACTACGCTTATCCTAACTGCAGCCCGTGGCGGAGAGCGTACCTTGCGTTGCTTAAGTGAACAATTAGCCAAGACATATTCCAGTGCATTAAATGCATCTTACTTGGCGATTGATGGATCTACTAAAGCGAAATATGACAGTAAGACCGCTAAACTACATATTGATCAGAAACTAGATTCAGGATTTAAAACCACATATCGAGCAGCAGTTTTACATCGGTTAGAAGAACTACCCGCTGGATCCTTGCTTATTCTTTATAAATACTGTGATCATGAGAATGCTGCTTTCACAAATGTGGCTCTGGTGCTCACAGTTCTTTTGGATAAAGAAACGTTGGATCGAAATCTGTCTCTTGCAGAAATAGAGGAGAAAGTAAAAGACTTCTTGTGGAAACGTTTTACAAGCCCAAATCACATAGGCTCCCACAATGAGATGGATGTGGATAAACTCAGTGGGGTGTGGAGTCGTATATCCCATTTAGTGCTCCCAGTTCTACCTGTAGATTCAATAGAATCTGGGAATTGTCCCTGGCCTTTGGAGGGACAAGAAGAAACCGATTAGAAGACACAGGGCAAAATTGCACTGAATGATGTCCTCTTAAAAGCGGCTCTATTATCCATATGGTAGAGTAGCAGGACTTAGTCTGTAATCTGAGAAAAAAAGAAAAAAAAAACCTATTTGAATAAGAATATCTTGGAATTATAGAAAATGTATCTATCCATTTCTACTGCAATCTGGTGCAGGGAACACAGGAGCAGTTTTAAAACTGACTTAAAATAACATGCACTTTATTTTATTAATTAATAATGCCTTATATTGCACTGTAAAGTGACTCCATCAATCTAATCTATTGTTTGAGATCCTAGCCAGTCATCTTAAACCAGGTTTTCTGCATAACCCACGAAGATGAAAATATCATGTTGGGACAGGTTTTATGCTGTTTGATTCTACACAATCTGTTCTCTTTCTGATATAATACTCTGCTTTATGTTTTTGGTTTGTTGTTGAATTCATTTTATGTATAATCAGTTTTCAAACAGAGGTATTTGCAGAAAAACAAAACTAAATCTAACAGAAGAGCCTGCATGTGATAAAGCATATATAATCCACTGCCTATTAGGATAAATCCAAATCATCTGCTGAAACAAAAGTCAGTTATACGTTATAATAATAGATGATAAATATACTATATTTTCAGACTTTTATGACCACTTAGACGGAAAAGTAGATATTAATTTGTTTTTGTACTTTTAAGAAGCGCATCAGACAATTTAACTGTAAAACATAATTTATATTAGTCTTAAATTAAAGGGGCAAATGTTTGTAAAGTAATACTTCCTGTGATTATTTTTAGAGATGGATAGCCTTCCAGCTGAAGCGGTAGAGGTTGACATAGTGAAGGAGTTTAAGCATAAGGCTATCCTAAGTATAAGATAAGGCCAGGGACTAATGAAAATTGAGCAGACTAGATAGGCGGAGTGGTTCTTATCTGCCGTCGCATTCTATGTTTAATTTTATGAAACATGTGTTCAGCCTTTTGGTGAGAATCATTATTAAAGGACCACTATAGGCATCCAGACCACTTCAGCTCAATTAAGTGGTCTGGGTGCCAGGTCCCACTAGAGAAACTGCTATGTTTACATTGAGGGTTAATCCAGCCTCTAGTGGCGGTCTCTCTGACAGCCACTAGAGGCTGCTTCCACGATCCTCAATGCGAAAATCGCATTGAGGACACGCTGACGTGCGTAGGAAAGCATTGAGTAATGCTTTCCTATGGGAGGTTTGAATGCGCGCGTCTCCGGCCACGCATGCGCATTTGGCTCTACTCGGGAGCTGCCGTCGGCAGGGGGAGGAGAGGTCACCAGCGCTGATGGAGCCCGGCGCTGTTTTAATTTAAGTGGCTGAAGGGGTTTCAATCCCTTCAGCACAGCGGGAGGTGGGCTCCGAGGGAGGGGAACACCTAATAACCCTTTAGTGACAGGAAAACAAGTTTGTTTTTCCTGGCACTATAGTGCTCCTTTACCTAATAAGAGTAGCCCCTGGATGATGGCTGTATGAGTACTGCTTCCCCTTCCAGTTAATTCATTTACCTACGTGACATTGTTGGTGGAATGTGACACTGAACTGGTTGCTATGCAACAACACAAAAGCTAGTTATCAATAGCATTAACTTATCTACCACTAAATACTGAACTTGTTCAACTCCTTTTTAGTTTAGTCCTTGCTTTAAATGAAATGTAGAATTTTAAAGGTACACTATAGTTTTAGGAATACAAACACATTTTAAAAATAAACATTTTATTTAACCTTTTCCTGCACAAAGGCTCCCTCGGCGCTGCTGACTTCTCTGCCTCCCACAACTGAGGAGGCATGGGCTCCTCCACAATGGTCCAATCCAATGCTCTTAGAGGACCATTGAGGACTTGATACACATACATGGTGAGTGGATCAATACTTTCCTGTGGGGGGGCTTCTGCATCATGTGACCTAGTTTTATTCAGTCAGTGCAGTGACTTCACTTAAACCTGCAATGTAAACGTTGCAGTTTCTAAAAATCAGCAATTATTTACTTTGCAGGGTTAAAAGGACAGGGCCACTGCATCCAGATCACTGCAATGAGATGAAGTGGTTTGGGTGACTATTGTGTCCCTTTAGTAATGGAAGTGGCAGTGCCATATCTTGTGGAACAGATAAAATGACTATTGTAATATTTCTCTCATTATTTTTATTATTATTTATAAAGCGCCAACAAATTATGCAACGCTGTACAATAGATGGACTAACAAACAAGTAGTTGCACGAAGAAAAGTTGGACATACTGGAACAGAAGGTGCTTCATGCCCTGCTCAAAAGAGCTTACATTATTTTTATACATTATTTCGACAGAATCTCTCAAGTTACATAGGGAATGTTCTGTATGTATCCTCTTGGAAGCATATTAACCAACATTTGAGCTTTTTTGCTATAGACAACAACAAGAACGGTGTCAAGCCTCAACAATGCACATATTTTCGACTGGTACTACCTGATAGGGTTTGTCTACCTCTATGGGAAGCATTATAAGACGGATTTGCTGCAGGGTTATAACAAACCATACAGTTTAACTATCAGAATCACAAACACAAATATAAGAAACTAATTATGTTGATATTTCAGATCTACAGGAGGGAAATAAAATAGCTATATCCTATGTTAGGGGTATTCAAATACCAGAACGTCACCTTTTTGGGGGAACCTTACCTTCCATATATATCAACTAGTCATTTTTCCATGGGAGCTGTTGATTTCCAATAGCTGGAGGTTCAATATTTGAGCTTTAGAGACTATGAATGCCAAGTTTGTATGTATTTTAGTGTAATAGCAGTCCTCCAATTGAAGTTGAACAAGATTTCAGAGCCAATGAGAGTTAAGGAAATTTTAGACCAGCTAAAAAAAAAGTACAGTTGGAGACTTAGGTCTATATTTACCTTCCCCAATCAGTACAATTGTTATAGCAAATATTACCTACAATTATTCTAAGTGCTATAAATTTTACAATAAGTGGGTGGACATTATGATTATATCCTATTTTATGATTGTCAAGTAATTTAAAATGTTAAATTTGTCTGATATTTTTATACAGTAATTTGCCTCAGGAAAAATGTGCTTACTGGCAAATAAAAATTTTATGCTGGCAAAAACCTATTTGTATTGACTTTTTCCTAAATATATTGTTATATCGATCTCATAACTACTCTGTATTTTACTTACTAAGCAGCACATTGTGGAAATTTTGACAAACAATTTGGAGATTTTATTTTCAAGTCCAACTACTATAGTCAAAATGTATTATATCTTTTGGTAATTCACCAAAACATAACCTGGAATTGAGTTTACAAAATCTCTTTAGAGGAACACTCTAAGCACCATAACCACTAGAGCACCCTGTAGGAGTTATGGTGCCAGCAGTGCACTGGCATACCTACACTGTTAGTAGCCAAACTGTTTTAGAATGGTTTGACTTCTTACCTGGGGTCCTCCAGACAACCCTTTCTGCTTCCACTACTTGCCATGGAGAGCCTAGCTTTCTGTCTGAGATCTCCCCAGTGACTCAGGGCTTAACTCATTGGCTGAGAACATTTTAGCTTATGCTCTCAGCCAAAGACCCTGGCTCAGCAGTGATAACAGAAGCTCCTGCTTAGGAGCTTCAGGCTTCTTATAGGAAATCGTGTGAGCAGCAAGCAGTGCTGAGTGGATGCCAGGTAAGAGGGCAAAAAGCTCTAAAATTATTTCACTTCTTACAACAGGGGTTGCCAGAACACTCCTTGCACCATAACCACCACAGTAAGTTGCAGTGGTTATGGTGCTTGAAATGTACTTTTTAAGACGATGATGATGCAGTCATGTTTTTCTGGTAAGTGTAAGAAAAACTAAATCTAGAAGAGATATTATTGAAACATGCTTAACCTATTTTATACCACTTTGTCCTTACTCATAGGTTGATTTTGAGTAAATACTGCTTGGTATGAAATGAATTAAAGTAACACTATAGTATCACGAATACAAACATGTATTCCTGATACTATAATGTTTAAGTGTCTGTTTACATTACCGGCCCCCTCTCTGTGCAGTAAAAAGGTGATTTTAATCACCTTTTCTCCCACGACATGCTGATCTTGCTGAGGCAGGCCTGGCTCCGCCTCCATTGGAAGGATATTGTGCATGTACGCCAACATGCCGTGCTGTGCCAATCCGCATTGCTGAGTGACTAGCATTACAGGTGTTACTAGCCAAGCAATGAAAATACTACCTTTTCTCTGAATATGAAGTGTTTATAGTGCTAACACTGCAGGGACAGGCTATACACACCAGAACCATTAAATGAAGTGTCCTTTTAAGGTTTTATTTATTTATTTATTGGTCCTACTGTATTTTGTCTCAGTGGAATTGTAACTAGAAAAAAGAGGAATTAGAGGCACATCTGGATCATGCATTTTCAGCAGTGGTGCTGCCGTTTAGACTAAAATGTATATCAAATACAGAGTAAGGAACAGCGCACACACAAAACTACAGTTATACTTTAATACTTAAAATCACTTATCTCAGCAAACAAATATGGGAATATCATGTTAAGCCCACCACAATGTCACAGTACCCCGATTGTGTTTAAACAAGTGTAGGACCCACTGATATTGGGGTACGGTGGCGGAGTGGTGGGCTTAATATGTAATGGCCATATGGTGTAACTGAATCTCCATACTTGCTGAGATAGGCGATTTTAAAAAGCGATGCCAGCGTGGAGAGACCAAACGCAGCATGGGAGAAAAGGTAAGTAAAATCACCTTTTTACTGCACAGAGAAGGGGCAGGTACCCTAAACAGCCACTTTAGCAAAGTGAATGTTATGATAAAAGAGACAGGGCTACAGTATCTGGCGTCCGAAACATTGGAAAAGGTGTCTGAGGTTGTGAAACTGATGTGGTGCCTACTTGGGGAAGTAAGGGCACCAGGTGAGTGATGTCGCGCAAGAGTATGTACTCTTACAGGGACACCAAGGGTAATTGCTTCCCTCTGACAATCCTTTGGTATTTATATTTGGCTAGGAGCAGGGGGTGAATGAATGACCATATTTCCTCTATCCCCAGTTGTCTAACGTCATGCTGCCATATATCTGTGTATTTATCGTTCCATTGTATATGTCTGTATCTGTCTATGTTTTGGTGTATGCATAAATATGGGTGTGTGTAGGTATTTGACATTGTATATTTATATGTGTTTGTGTACATGTATGTCTCGACTTTTTAAAATCTGCCTCAAAATCCAGCCGCACCTGCTCTGTCCAGGCTCTGAATCTCCCCTTGGGTTGTTCAACATTTTATTCTTGTGATTAAAGCAATGGGAATAAGTACATTAGATACATTTTTAAAGAAACCGTATAGTCAGATCACATGATGAACAGATTTGAATGTTGCATGTGCACTGGGTGTTTGCATGTATTTCTTACATAAATACACAGCCGCTCGAATTGCGTATACCTGCTACTTTACCAATACACATGTTAAAAGCTAAAGTGCAGTTTCACAGTATGTACCTGTGCGAGAAATATTCAACTATATATCTAAAGAGGCAATATCTAAGCAGTATCACCACTAGAGGGAACACTGAGATTGACAATTAAAAAGCTTACACAGTTTCCTTAAAAAAAAAAGACGACTGTGCTGGACTAACAATATATTTAGACTGAAAGTAACACAATCACAAAGGAAGCCTTCGATATATTTATTTTTAATCACCAAAGAACACAATGTGTCTGTGCGCCCAGGACATACTTGAAAACGAGAGAAATCTAAATATATCCTTCCTGGTAAAATATTTTATAAATTAAAAAATTAAAAAATATCAAACCTCCAAATAATGGGCAGTATGGATGTTGGGGGTGAAACAGATCAATAGAGAGTGTTGTAGTGATGGTGCCCAGCCAGGAGTGCGTGAGAGATTAAGTTCACAGTCCACAGACCTGATTGGCAGAGCTTCTTCCTGGCGTTTCCAGTTCAGTAAAGGCACAGCAGGTGCAGAAACTTTAAAAATGAATTAATTTTTTATTAGATTGTAAGCTCGTGGGCTATCTAGCAAAGTACTTTGTATAAAAGGTCTTCAGGGTCCAGACGGGCAGGGCAAGCCTGTAAATTTTTATTGGACTGTTTATATTGTACTGTCTTTTTCCCAATTGTACAGTGCTGCGAAATACGTTAGCGCTTTACTGGCACTCAAATGCCAGCAATAAATAAATAATAAAAATTTCTGCCTGACATCTTGCAGTTTTCACCGCATAATACGCTTGAGTGTTAATAGGGGACCCTGGTGAATCGCTCAGTGCAGTCCGAGCCCAGAATGCCTAGCTTGGAATTTCTGCGGGGTTCAAGCCTGACAGGTGTCGGAGAGACGGCTGCTCTCCAGACGCCGCATCTTGTCACCCAGAGCTGACTGAACTCCCCCCCACCCTGTGGACCAGTGGGGGTCATCCCTGTCCCAGGAGATCACTCAACGCTACTCTTGGCTCCTCGAACCTCTGTGTGCTGCAGTGCCACGTGGCTCCTAAGATCGCGCAGAACACAAACAGAGATTTGCGCGATTCCTACTTTACTGCAACTCTGACTAAGCTGAACTCTATCTTTACATAATTTTGGGTTAACTTAGAGGCAAGACACCAGCGTGACAGGGTAGAACTCCCACACATCTCGAACTCACCAACACCAACCAGCTATCAGCAGTGGCCCATCATGCCCTCAAACCTTCAGATGACCCATCTGATTGGAGAACCCCTTTCTCTTCACTGCGGATGCCAGGGCAGCGAAGCTCCATCACTCTCTAGAGACCCAAAGGGGTTATAACAGAGCCTGTACCTGTTGGGGGCCTTGCCGGGGCACAGAGGTCTGGGTCTCTGACCCTTCATGGGGGCGGCTACTGTAACGGAGAGGAGTGGCGGCAAATGCATCCTGGATTTACCAATGAGGTACAATGCAACACTTACCTCTATGAGAGGGAGCCCAGCAGTTTCCTCGAAAATCGGGAATCAGGTGAAGACGCATGAGATCCGCTGGGGCGACTCTACCAGCCTGGGCACAGCTACCATGCGGTGGACTCCTGTAGTTTCTGTGTTTTTGTTTACTCACAATGTCATAGCCTACTCTTTCTGAAACCACAATCGCGTTAACACTACTCCTGGGCACACAGCCCAACTCTCATGTTAACATAGAATGATTAATTTTATTTTCACTCTATCGTTTACCCACATGCCTAGAATATCTTGCAAACCTTGAAGTCTTGTTCAATCACTAATCTAGACATGTTTAACTAGCTTGCATTTGCTTTCTTGTGCTGTCTGTTAATTTCACATGAGTATCTCCATTTCTAGTGTACTGACCCAGACTTGTTTATTTTCTGTTTAAAAAAAAAAAAGTGATATATCCCTGACATTTTATGAAGATCTTACTAATTGTACTTTTTCATATCAGAATGTCACTGTAAGCTTGTGAACTATCCTATGCACTACAAAAATAAAGAATTGGGAGAGAAAAAAACTATGCAACACATCACAATGCATGGGAGCTACTTACAGCACAGAGTGTTCCTTTAAGAGAATGCAAAACAGAGACCTTCAAAACATGTAAAATATAAATTTGTGTGGATTCTTGTAATCAAGGGAACAAATTAGAGAACCAAACTGTTGGCTGGGAGAGAGAAACTAGGCTCTGATCTTGGGAAACATAGCAGTACCTCCCTTGATATACTTTTACAGGCTGTTTCCTGGACCACACATGGTGAAGCTATCAACAGAACCATTCTTGCACACAACATGATGGATTTATCATCTGTGCTACAGGAGCTAAACATGGAGAGATAGTGATCTGCAGTCCAGGAGAGTTACAGAGAGACATCTGGTGCTACAGACTGAACATCTGGGCAGGGTACAGGAAGAGACACTTATTTAGAAACAGAGGAATAAGAAGACTATTACAATCCTCACCGGTTATATTATTGAGTCAACATATACCAAAGCGTTTAGATAGGGCATGACAACCAACGATTTCTTATGACACATATAAAAATTATTGATCATTCAAAAAAAGTATTTTGCCTTTAGAAACGGTACACGTTTTACATTTCAAGCTTTTTTATATCGTTTTTGAAATGCTGTTCATTCCCTTTTTCTGAAGTCTACTTAAAATGCTTACACATCCAGCACTTAAATAAACATTGTGGTTTAAATGAGCAGTGATTAGTGAATTTACTAATGGCTTGCAACATTCAGACCAAAATGTCAATGTTACAAATAAATCTATGTCTTGGCTTACATTAC